TTTTGCAAAAACATCAGGCTAGCATTCTAAGCAATGGAATCAAATGAGGTGAAATTAACCTGTGCTGAAAATTTTCTGTTAGATGCAACCTTCAAATGCTGTTGGTAAATATTTGTATTTAGTGTGCATGCATACTCAATAACCAATACAGAGGCCTGGAAAAAACAACAACTGTCCCCTACAAGAATGTTTCTGGGATGAGATGTCCAGAGAAAAGAATGCCTAAACTCAAAGACATGAAGAAGCACTAGGCACAGGAAAAACCTGAAAAAAGTACAGATTAAAGATAGAAAGGGCAGACCAAATCATTCTAGAACAAGCATAGGCAAACTCGGCCCTCCAGATGTTTTGGGACTACAACTCCCATCATCCCTGACCACTGGTTCTGTTAGCTAGGGATCATGGGAGTTGTAGGCCAAAAACATCTGGAGGGCCGAGTTTGCCTATGCCTGTTCTAGAGACTGTATGCACATTAATTGTGTAATTCTGTTAACTATGCTTGTCTTAGGGTTGAAGCTACTTGGAATGTTGACCCTGTAAGCTGCTGTGGTGAAGGAGCAGCTCAAAGGTTCCAGCACTGATGCGTGAAGACAACTTGTCTCCCTCCGTGGCATTGGAGCCTTACTCCATCCTTGATGCACAGCTTTGCTGGTCATGGTTGTACAGAAGTGTCATAGCTTAGTGGTAGAGCAACTCCTTTTTTAAGACTGAGGCACTGTTTGTGGATGGTTCCCTAGACCAGATGGATGGCAGCTTGCCTACTCTTGATGGGGTTACACTACCTCTGAAGGAGCAAGTACATGGGGCTGCTCCTGAATCCTTTGCTGTCGCTTGAGGTTCAGGTGGCCTCGGTGGCACAGAATGTCTTCCATCAGCTTCAGCTGGTGGCCCAGCTGCACCCTTATCTGGAGAGGGATAGCCTAACCTCTGTTGTCTATGCACTGGTATCATCTAGGTTAGATTACCGCAACGCATTATATGTAGGACTGCCTCTGAAGACAGTATGGAAACTTTAGCTGGTGCAGAATTTGGCAGCTAGGTTGCTCAAGATGGTTTGAACATATTGCACCAATCTGGCCCGATTGCACTTGCTGCCATTTAGTTTCTGGGCCCTATTCAAAGTGTTGGTTTTGACCTATGGCTCAAGACTGCAATACCTCAAGGATGACCTCTCTCCATATGAACCTACTTGGACCCTGAGATCATCGTCTAAGGCCCTTCTTCATGTGCCTCCTCCATGTGAAGTCTGGAGGGTGGCAGCACAAGAATGGGCCTTTTCTGCAGTGGCTCCCCATTTGTAGAATACGCTCCCCAGGGAGGTTCGGCTGGCACCTTCATTATACACCTTTAGGTGCCTGACAAAAAATGTTCCTCTTCAACCAGGGCTTGGCCTGATTGACATCCAATGCCCTTTTAAATGTGTTGTGGGAGCAGGGGATTATTGGTTTGTTGTTGTTGTTCTTATTTTCACTATGTATTTAGTGGTTTTTATATTGTAGCTTTATGTTGTGAACAGCCCTGAGATCTGCGGACGGAGGGTGGAATAGAAATTTTAATAATAATAATAATTCTACATACAGAAGCTCCCAGGTTCCAACTCTAGGTAGGGCTGAAGGAAACTCTTGTCTGATAGCTTGGAGAGAGCCATCACTGGCCTGTGTAGAGCATGATGAGATTGAGGGGGCCAATGGCTTACTTAAGTCTAAGACAGCTTCCTCTGTTTCTAACTAAATCTGTACTCTTAAGGGTGTATACAGGGGTAAGTGGATCAGCTGAGCCAAAAGTCCATGCCAATTGGCCACATTCATCTTAGCTCAGGATAAAGAGCAGTGCACCTTTGCATCCATCTTGTTTAGGTTGTTCTGTGTTGTTTCCATCTGTACTGCCATAGTTGTGTTCAGTGCCTTTTGTGAATAGTCATACTTGGATCAAGGCCTCAGACAATAATTAATATACCATTGGAAACAAAGAAAATCCCAGTTAGCAAGTCCATTCTTGAACGCAGCCAGACTGTTTGCTACCTGAAGTTATTCAGAATAAATATTCTAGGCTTTGGTAACAATTATGAATGAATTGTCTCCCTTACAGAGAAAATGACACATAATTCAAACATTTCTTCACGTTTACCACATGGAAAATGCATTTCACCTACAATATAACTAAACGCAAAGATTAATCCCAGGAACGTTAAACAATGAAATCATGTGTGTTTTGTTTGTGATCTCTGACCTGATGTAACAGACCTTGGGACATGTTTCTGTCATATCTTAGTAGCAGATGACAAATGGTTCAGTTTAAATTATCTCCTCCTGCTGCAGCCAATTTACTGGCAACAGTGCAGAGCATTTCCTAACAAAGGAATGTTGACCTCCAAACTAACGCCTCTTCTCTTTCACTTTTTTTTTTAAAAAAAACTACAGTCAATCCCATGCAGAACGTGAGAGAAGGATATGATATGCTTTGCATCTGGAATTATGTGTTGTGAAAAACTGGAAAGATGATCACATGCTATCTCACAACTAAGTAGGTAGATCTTAACTGGCTATATGGATGGGGCAGAAATTTAATTTCCTTTCCATTTTAATGGGAAATGACCTCCTTCACACTTCCCTAGCCAAAAGGTGAGCTACAACACAATGATCCTTCAAATTCCGCACTTCTCCAGATTTTGCAAAGCAGGTCTCCAATCACAGTGTTCAGAATGCATGTATTAGGGGGAAGCATGCATAAAAATGCATACGTTCATGAAAAACAACTTACCCCAAATGCATTAAAGTATGGAAAATTGTAAAAACTGCATACAAAATTGTAAAATATGCATACAAAAATGTGCCTCTTAGGAGAAAGTTACACTAAAATGTTGGTGGATTTCCATGTGGATTTTTTAAAAATGCAGATTGCAGTGGAACTGATGGGGCAAATGAGAAACTGAAATGAACAGATTTATGCTTTCCTTATTGGCTATCATACATTTGCTTAGCATATTCTCCTGTGGTTCAATCAATCACATAATGAATGGATTTGTCTGTTTGCACCCATTTACCATTCTTAACCCATACAGATTGTGTACACAAACACTAGTGTCATTGTGGCATTAAGGATCCTCTATGTTTACTCAGACGTAATTCCCAGTGAGTTCAGTGGAATGTCGGTTTAGTTAATACACACACACACACACACACACACACACACCCCTTACTCTTAGGTAAGAGTGTACAGGTTTGCCGCCTGACACCATTAAGAAATCTTCAAAATGCAGTGATCCCTCTGTCCTTAGTGGAATCATTTTTAAAGCATGAAAGCTGGAAGTTTTGAAATTTAAAATGTTCTGTACAATGGCTGCTCAGTACTAATAAAACACGCCCTCTGCCCCCCAAAAGCTACAGTACAATCAGCAAAGCAGTTTGCTGTAGGTTTGCTCAGCTGATGCAACAGAATGAAACTTAATCAATTAGCAGGGAAAACTTACAGGAAGCAACCGTTAGCAAATAATGTCTGTGCCATCATTTAACAAGCTACACCTGACATCATTGTAACCAGGGAAATTTAGAAAAGATGGAAACATAGTATTTAATTCCTAAAGTGTCCATGAATACCATACAGTCTCTTGTATGCAATGCCCACAATTTAATATCGCCATCCTTTGGTGTATATGAAATATAATTCCCCCACATTCCCCTCTTTATAAAAACCTATAATCCCCTCCTTCATTTAAAATTAGCACTCTATCTTGCTAGTGGGGCACGATGCCAGCACAGCAGATGGGCATATATGTGGGTATGCCATTGAAGTCTGGTTACAAGGCAACTGGATTTTCATTTAAGAATCTGGCAATGCTGGTTGCTTAGGATTCAAGAGAAAGCTTAACTCTCCACTATTGTCCTTTAAAGTTGTGCAAAACCAGTTGATGAAATAAACTAGACATAATTTTGGGGAGGAGGACACCAAAATGGCCAGATTCTGGTAAATAAAACTTTTTGAAACACAGAGCGGAAGAAATAAAATTTGGTGTCCTTCAGCCAATTGATAGGCAGTCAGCCTCAAAACTCTGACATTTGTCTGTTGTTCAGTAATGAACCTGTAGTCACTCAGGCCATTGTGAAAAGACCTTCTGTGGTTTGCTTTCTGCAGAATGGAGGTGCACATTTTCTCCTGTATGGGGCAGGAAAGGGGCTTCATGATCAACCACAAGCATAAATTTCTGGTCTGGTTTGATAAACATTATGCCTTCAATCTTATTTAGATTTCCAGTTCAATCCTGCATGTGTCTACTTAGAAGTCACTTCTATAGATGTCAATGGGGCTTATTTCCATGTGAGTGTAGGACTGCAACCTTATAGCCTAGTTTTAATAAAGACAAACCATTGTATGATTACACCCATGATTAATAACACCATACATACATACATCACGATTCTTTCCAAAGAAATATGTTTGATATAAACAAACAAAAAGCTTTCTGAAATGGCTTTTTTTTAAAAAAAAAAAAAACCAAAAAACCCCACAATGCTCATAAAAAAATTACCTTGGTAAATGCCTTTATGATTTTGGCAAGAACATAGAGGGACATCTGGGGAGAAAAATACCAATTCACTGCTGTGAAAAACATCACCAATGTGTTATAGTGACAATAGATACCTATAATTAAGTCAACTGAAATGTCTGCACATCAAATTATATGCTGCTATTTATAACTGCAGTTGTCCATTAGTATTAGCTTGCAAATGTGCTTGAAACTCCAGAGGAAAATGGGAAAAATATTATTCAGGGATATTTGAGTTTAATATCTGTAAAAGCACAGGATAACAACTCCCAGGAGCAAACATGCAACCCCCCCACAACCCTTAGAGAATGATGTTTTCAACACTGAAAATAAGATCACAACAACACATTGCATGAGTCTAATTGTAGCTTCTTCTGCGTAGTAGGTGCAGTAAAAAAAAGAAAGACACAAAACAAATGGGGGAATATCCTTTTTTGTTTATTTACTTACAAAATTGTGCAGCTTGTAAGTTATGAGAGATGTGATGATCAAATGTTACTAAATTATCATTTGCTGGTAGCAGGTACACACTTATTCTGAAGCCCAGTACAGAAGGCTGTATTAGATTCCCCTTCACATCTTGGTCTCCTCCAATGGTCGGTTCATGAAGTCTTGAATGGCCTGGTTTAATGGCAACCACTTACTGACCGAGGCTTTCAGTGCCGTGATCCATCTGGAAGAAAGGAATAGGCAGAGCTGGTCACTAAATGAATGGTGTTTGGATAACTGCAAGCTAAAGACTGCTTGAGCTTGCATCAATATGGCAGATGAACAATCGTATCACAGCAAGTGCGCTGCCAAAAGTAGCGGGGACTGGAAGCGTGGCAAAGTTTTTGTAAAAATAATTATTTAGGAGGAATGGACAGTAGCTCTAGTTTTCAGCACAACAATTATGGGGGTTTTTTTGGGGGGGGGAGACTCCTACATTGTCTCCTACAAATCCTTATCCTTTGATCTACTTTGGCTTAAAACTGGCATGGAAAGCATTGTGGGATTCAGAATAAAATGGATAACTAACTGACTGAGATTGTGGTTTGAATGTTTTGACATGTGATAGATAACTGGATTGTCTGCATTGTACCAAGTCCTGGAAAGTAATATACAAAATGTGGCTTAAGTCAAGACAGGATAGGTCCTGCTCTTTCTGTAGGTCTGTGATTAAGGATGTGGGAAATTCTGAGGAAAACGTAATGACAATGCACTTTACGTAATTAATTGTGTAAATTACGTGAGTTGCATAATTTTGTCACATAAATTACATTCTCATTACATCATTCCCCTCTCCATTTCATTGAAAAGGTTTCTGGTGGAAGACAAACTCTAGTCACTGGCAGAGGAAGAGGAGTGCGGGGGGAGCGTACCGCCCCCAGCAGCGCGATCCTGGTGGGGTGCCATTGCGGCTGCCCTTCGCCCACGCTGGGCGCCATGCCCCTGTGGGTGGTGCGCCAGCCCCGCCCCCCCGCTCTCCACTCCCCCCCCCCGTGCCGAAGCATGAAGCTCCGCCACTGACTCTAGTAGAATAGAAACCATGCTGTATGTGATGAATACAGGAGGGGATGGGAAATGATACTTTCTTACTTCCCTATATGTGATGCATCGAAAGTTTGAAGGACCATTCCCCTTAGCATAGATCACTTCCACAGTGACGCTGTTTCCTCAGTTACTGTGATGAAATTGTCATGTATGGATATCTTTGAATATCTATGGATATCTCATTAGGATTTTAAGATTTTAAGAAGGCACAACTCATTTCCTTCTACTCTCTTATGTGGCCTTAAAGTCGCCATTCTCCAATACACACAGAGAGCTTTTTTGTTCATAATTGTTCATAGAAAACTTCAGTTCTACTTAAAGGTAGTCAACCACCCAGACAATTACTCAGAAGCCTCAAAACTCTCTACTTCACTCATTGTCTACAACTACGGAAAGGTGGTGGAAAGGCAGGTAGAAATGGGCTAGAGAAACAATTTCAGAGGAGAGAGGAGCACATCATCTACCGTTTGTTTTCGGTCACGCTTTCTGCACATAAGTAGAAGGTTTTAAACTCCTCCGAAGGTGGCTTCACTTCAATCACGGACCTCCTGGAACCAAGGGCCTGTTCACTCACAGTGTATCCCTGCAGGTAAATCCCACCTAGAAAAAGAAAGAGGGACAATAGGCAAAAGGTAGAGGACACACTATGCACACAGATGGCCCCAGAGTCTCCGGCAAAAAAAAGAGAAGAAACCCAGGAATCAGGGCTGGGAAAGTCGTCTCTTTTGAGACCCAGAGGAAATCACTGCCGACATGAGGCTAAATGGGTCACAGGTTCCCACATTCATAGACCTAACAGATCAGGTGCTTTTCCTGAGCAAGGCTTTCCAGATCACATCAGGTCTACTACAGCTCCTTGACCGACTCCCAAGAGCTCTAGCTCTGCCCGTCAGCTGTTTATTGACATTTTCTCAAATATTTCTGTGTTGCAGAGGATGCACAGTGTCACAACAAAATAAAGTGGCTGTATCTTGAAAAGTCACTGTAAGAATCAGGACCCCTGGAATGCCAGGCCAAAGCTCCAACTATGTAATAAAGGAATACTGAAAGTAGACCTAGCAAAGCATAGGTCACCCCATCGACTTCATGGCTGAGTGGAGATTTGAACCCTGGTCTCCCAGGTCATAGTCCAACCCACTAAGTGTTACACCACACTGAAGCTTCCTTTTTTGCATTATTGGCATTTTTGTATTATGTATAGGAGGAAAACCTACTTGGTTTCAAAAAAGGAGGAGGAAAGGTGACCACCTACCAAGGGCATGTGTAGAGCGTATGCTGGCATAAAAATACAAGCAGCCATCTTTCAGAATGCAGTAGTGTTGAACCCACATGTCCTTGTTCTTGTCCAATTGGTGAAGAAGTCCCAGGCACTCCGGGTTTTTGATGGCAAGTGGTGGAAGGCTTGTGTTGTGCATGGTGACATCTACCCAGACGTGGTTCTGCACATTGGAGTTAGTAAAGAGACCACTTTTATTGTTGTTAAATGAGCTCAATGTACACAAATATGTCCAAGTATATTTAAAGCTGCAAGAATTTAGAAAGTTAAGATGTCAGCTTATAATTTGTCCAGTCTATATAGTGGTAACTCGAGTTACAGATGCTTCAGGTTACAGACTCCGCTAACCCAGAAATAGTACCTCAGGTTAAGAACTTTGCTTCAGGATGAGAACAGAAATCGTGCGGTGGCAGTGGGAGGCCCCATTTAGCTAAAGTGGTATCTCAGTTTAAGAACAGTTTCAGGTTAAGAACGGACCTCCAGAACGAATTAAGTTCTTAACTCGAGGTACCACTGTATCGAGGTACCACTGTATCGTGAAATTCATGAAATTCAATTCATAAGGCACATACTCTGGCCTGTTAAATTCTGATTTCCTGCTGTCAGCATTCTATAAATCCATGCTGTGCCCATTTTAATGCTCATTTCTCATTTTGGTTATTAGCTTCACGGTGATTTTGGGTATCACATTAATCAGCACATTTCTCAAGTCTCATGCCTTCAAATGTAGCATGTGATATGTCAAATGACGGTTTGCTAAGCAACGTATCTGGCCAAATACATCTGGTGGGGATGAGAATAAAGAATGCATGCTTGAAGGAGTGAAATGAACCCATTCTTTAATTACACTGACATTCATCTGACATTCTTCTTAATATATGGGTCTGAAAGGCATGCAGTTGGAATCTAACATTAGAAGCTGTTTTCAGATGTTAGTGTTTGCAAAGCTTGAAGCTTGCTTTGAAGTTAGCTTCCAGATGGAATGGTCATGTTAGTCGGCTGTAGCAAATCATATTAAGTATCTTGTGGCACAAACCAATACATGATCACATATTGCATATGCTGCATCTGATGGAACAGACTCCAATTCAGAGATGGGGAGCCTGCAAGCAGTCCATATATTGTGGGACTCCAGTTACCATGAGCCCCAGCCAACATGTCTAATGGTCAGGAAAGATGGTAGCTGTGGTTCTGCCACAACGGGAAGGCCACATAGGCCCCACCCCTGCCCTAGTCTGTGGAAGCTTAGCCTTTAATGAGTTTTTTTTAGTCTTGAATTTGCCACAAAACTCTTGAGTTGTCCCTAATGAAGTCTTATCAGAATGCCTTGCCATGACACAACTCAGCATATAACTGCAAACATCTCTAGTTAGGGTTGAGGAGCATTACATTAAGTTGTGGTTCTTGTCTGTGATGGGACTACTCAGACAACTGCTTTGCTAGAGGTACTTGTTCCTGAGGCTAATAAAATCTACTCAGTCCAGATAATAAATTAAATAGCTCACTAGTTGCTTATACAGTGTCTGAAGCAGAGTGTGCAAACAAACAATTCTAAAGATTCTTAGAAAAACAGAGGACAAAATCCAACTGGTGCCCATCAACCAGAAGAATGACCTTCTGCTTGCACTTCTTCCTGCTTTTGTCTGCTTCACACCTGAAATCTGCTCCAGAGGGCTGACAGTTTGCAAGGAAAAGGAGGAGGAGGAGGAGGAGAAGTAACATCCTTTGCATGAGTGGAAGTCTGCTCACACAGCAGAGGATCCTGAACAACGGCTCCTACTGACATTTATAGGAAATTGGAAGGTTGTACAACTTAGAGAACAGCTTGAATGAAGGCCATCACTTGATCTATTGTGATTGTTTATCTCCTGACATCTTTCAAAGATTCCCCTGCTGCTACCTAGAGTGGAAGGTGTGCATATATCCATGCCTAGTTATGCAGAACAGGCCTAAAAATGATAACAAAACTCTTGAGAATTAAATCAGGTTGCCATGGTCTCATGTACAAACAAATGCGTGGCTATGTGAAAAGGATCAAGCTGCAAACCAGGACATTTCTCCTCATTTTCACATCAGATGGAAGCTCAAGAGTTGAGCCTCGGTGGTCTAAAGCAAATGTGCTTGTTTATCAGCAAAATTGGTAAGCAGCCTATGTCTTTGCTCATTTGAAGTCCTTGGAGAGAAGCCATACAATGTTGATGATCTATTTCCCTTTAAATTGCATTATTTCCTCTGGAGCCTTGATGAGCCTGCAGAGGAGGAGATGAGCTAACTTCAGGAAATACTGTTAAGTGCATGCCCCGCCATCCCTTGCCGGTGAACCTTCTGGGATGTACGGTGGCAAAGTGCAAAGAGAGGACTGAAAGGATGCTCAGCACATATGCGGAATAGATGCTTTACTCTCAGTCTCATTAGGATGACATAGCACCAACGCTTCAGTGTGTGGCACCATTGAGTTTGCAATAAAGAAAACCACTGCCCGTTGCAAAAGGGAGTTCTTGTTATTTTGCCTAAAAAAAACAACAACAACCCTCTGGGTGGCTTGTCGGGCTAAAGAGGATTGTAATTTAGCATTCGCTTATTCCGTTACATTTTTCTAAAAGGGAGAAACCATAAACTGTAAGCAAAAATTACTAATGAGACCTGTTATGTGATTGTATTTGCATCTGTTCATGTGAAAGGAAATGAAAAAGAAAAGAAAATGATGTCTTAACCAGAGCGTAGCAGTGAAGTAGTAATCTATAAAAATAATGGGTTTCCCAAGCAGTAGAAAATTGCTAAAAGGCTGAAATGGTCTAAAACCACATTATCCGAAGAAACCTTTCACCCCTGGTCTTAGCAATGTTTGACTTATTGTTACATCCTGCATAGTTCTGACTGCTTTAATATTCTTGTATATATAGTATTTTTGGCAGCATTTAGACCAGGGTCTAACCATTTAGACCATCATCTTCAGATGATGTTGAACCATCATGGTTAGGGATGATGAGGATTGCATCTGGAGGGCTGGAGGTTCCTTGTCCCTGATTTAGACCTTCTTAAGCATATTCTTTCTATTGAGGAATTCTGGGCCTTTAGTTTGTTAAGGGTTGCTTGGAGTTGCAAATCTGGATACCCTACCAGAGTTAATGTTTCTGTTTTCAAGAATGGCTTAGCAAAGCCGTTGCTATGGCTAACAAAGAACAAATACAGAGAGATCTCAGAGTGAAGGCAGCTTCACACAGCAGCTCACCTGTTGGTTTGCAAATAGCATGCAGAACACTCGAAGCTGGTTCTGCCTGCCCCATGAATGACTGCCAAGAGCTGAGGGCCATGAAGATAAAGTACTCACTCAGCATGTGCCCTAGGATTGGCATATGTGAGAGACCAGAAGGGGGACTTAATCCCTTGTCAAGTACTCTCTCGTAGACTTTGGTGAGTCTATGCACAATTTAAGGTCACCCTCAGCATGTAAAGTTTGTAAATTAGAAATGGACATGCACAAACAAAAACAAAGGCTCTGGCAAGGTTACCTGATGAACGGGATGCACAGCTTTCTCCATGGCCTCCAGCCACCTATGGAGGGGAAAAAACCATAGATGAGAATAGGTTTGCTTGAGTGCAACATCCTGCATGGGGGCCTTGTGGCCCTTTAGGGAAAATCGTAGATAGCTACTCACTTACACAGGCCTGTATGAGGAAATAATTGGCAGGGCCAATTTCAAACACATGGAGGAGTCTGTACCTCACAAAAACAGGTGCTAACATCCTCACAGCATTTCTCATACTGGTATGAAGAAACATTTTGCAAATGTTCTTCATCTCCACCATTGCCATACTTCTTTTCTTCTGCTATCGGAGGACAAATATGCACATAGCCACCTATATGCAAAACAGTATTGGTGTCTCCTTGTAGGAGAAGGAATTATGTATGTATAGAATATGCAGAGAATGCGCAAATGGAAATCTTGAAAGCAGGCTGAATACAGTTGCTGGGGAAATCACAGTGAGTGAAGGCTGTTGACCTCATACCCTGCTTGCGGATTTCCCACAGGAAACTGGTTGGAAACAAGCAGGGAGCCAGTGTGGTGAAGTGGTTAGAGTGTTGGACCAGGGAGGACCAGGGTTCTAATCTTCACTTGGCCATGAAGGCCGCTGGGTGACCTTGGGCCAGCCACTTACTCGCAGCCTAACCTCTACCTCAGAGAATTGTTGTGAGGATGAAATGTATATCAGATCAAGCCCCATGGAGGAAAGGTTGGATATAAATGCAATAAATAAATGAAAAATGCTGGATCAGAGAGGCCTTTGGCTTGGTCCATCCAGGACTGCTTCTCTTAAATGATTATGCTAAAGAACAACAAAAAACCAGAGGAATGCAAAATAAAATAACATATTATGCAAGTTACTGACAGAATGCTGATGGGGGAGGGGAGAATTGTATATGTGGTAACCCTAATTAAATCTCAGTGCAAATGTTTTCTCTCCTGCAGTAAGAGACTGCCTGCTGCTTATGCAATTGACCTTAATAAGCAAATCCATTTTGCAGAACTAGGAAGAAAGAAAACATAGAAAGGAATGTAGTGAGTGGATTGTGTACCTCTTCATCTCTTGGTTTGATGTGGCACAGAAGTAAAAAATCCTGTTTCCAGTCTGAGGAATGCACTTAAATACAAAGGGTTTGCCCAGGGTACTGTCCACACCAATTTCAGCACCTTCTAACTTTGTGACTTCTAATGGTCGGCACTTTCCTTCATCCTGTAATGAAGACAAGAAGAAGAAAACAAGATTTTGAGAAAAGCCGTGGGGGGCTTAAGAGACATGGTGGTGGTGTTTTTGCTAAACATCCCCTTTAATTCCACAAATTGCTTCTCATCTAAAAAGCAAAGATTGCATAGTAAAGCCAAGTACTATGGGATTTCCCCAAAAGAAGCTGATTCCATAGCATCATAGAATTGTAGAGTTGGGAGGGAACCTGAGGATAATCATGCCTTCTCTTTAAAGTCAAGGGGATTCACTGCAGCTGTCCCAATCCCTTTTGCTCTACTTAGAAGGAAATATATACATTAACCTCCCCCGAACGTGAGAGAAAGAGAAAATACTTGCATGCATTGGATATGTTTTACAAGAGGATCACATTCTAGTCCTGTTCTTCTCTTATGATGCTAGACTTAGTTTATTTTTAGGGGAATCATTTTGGGCTTTCAGAGAGTTGGCCCTATCATTAGGCACAGTGAGGTAGTTGCCTCAGGTAGCAGATAGTAGGGGAAGAGGGGCAGTGGCGACAAAGTGTTGGAGGACAGAGCTTCTCCCAAGCTAGCTTACTGCCCTCAAGTGTGGCGAAGGACACTGTCCTGTCGACGTATGATTCACCCTCCAGTCAAGTTGGCTTCCGTACATGGACTGCACCATCTGGTCCTTTGCCTCAGGCAGCAAAATATCTTAGGCCAGCCCTATGCTTGCACTGAACCGACCCTCCAACACTTCCTATTGTACAGCCTACTCTAAATTTCCAGCGGCTGTGGTTTTCATTTTGACCAACTTCAATATTTCAGAAAAAGTAAAACCCTGCAGCAAAAGGAAAGACTTCCTTTGCGGCGGAAATGACTGGCAGAATCCGAGACCAGGGAGAAGAGTCGGTGGAAGAAGATTGGAAGAAATTTAAGGACTGTCTACAGAAATATTGTAAAATTAATGAATGTTAGAATGATGTTGGATAGAAATTAAGTGGTTTTCAGCTGTAATACTATAAGGAATATGAAAAATGGATTATTAATAGGTAAAAATTTAACGTTACAATACTTTAAGATTAAAGATTAGGATAAACAAAGAGGGTAAGGATTTGCTGAACCAACAAACTGAACTGGAATACAAAAAAGGGAGGCGCGAGGAGGTCCGGGAAATAAGCTAATGAAAAATAAGTAATGGAAAGATTGAGTTGTTTTTAGCCATTTTTCTTTTTGTACTTTTTTCTTTTTTCTGTTTTTGTTTTGTAACATTTTGAAAATCTTAATAAATATCTTTTTTTTTAAAAAAAGGAAAGACTTCCTTTGCGCTCTTCTGCTTTTAACTCTGAGAGGACTCTTCTCAGAGCATGTGATCGCTACATGCCTAATATACTTACATAGCAATTGCTGTGAAAATTAGGTCATACTTTCCTTTGCAAGTGTGATCTATTAAGCTCCTCCCTTGATGAACTATGCATTTTGTTTCCTGATGCAACCTCACTCCCAGAATTTCCCAATGGGAATGCTGTGTGCCCTAACCTTTGTGCTGACTGCCAACACCAGTTTAGATCACTCCCTAAAGAGACTGTGGATGAGTTCAGATGTAATGCAAGACGGAACGCATGATTTGCGCTAAGCATACTTGCGCTGGAGCATACTACTCCATGGTTTTAGCTTCCGTGTGCACAGCAGACAAACAACAAGCTTAAGCTACTTGTCAGCTTTTGTTTCTCATTTACTCAAGGCTCAGCTTCATAAGTTCATTTCCATCTCCCCGGCACAGCAGCCTCTTGTAGCGCAGTAATGACTTTAACTGTGGTTGGTCAATGGTGCTTGAATTCAGGCACAACAGCAAAGAATAGTGTGCAGATCAGCTTGTAAAATGGTGGTTTTTCAAACCAGGTTCCAATTGCAATTCTGAATCAATATTTGTCAACCACAGTTTGTGGGCGGTCTTAGGTTCAAACAAACCATGGCTTTGTGCTATACCTGAACCAAGCCAGTGGAACAGGCTGATGATAGGAAATAGCTCGCTAAGCCTATGCAATGAGTCCGTCCAACTTATACCCCAGATCTCTTAGACTCAGTTTCAACCCTGCGTTTACTGGACTATTTTCTTACTACACTCATTTTTTCTTACTTCTGTTGTGAAGCATCACTGACAATCCTACCATCTGAAACAGGAACAGTCTCGGCACAATCTACTTTTCACACCAGATTGTTGATCGTAAGAGCAAACAAATTTTGTCAACGCAGGCCCTCCCTAAATTTCAGCGAAGGGCTTGTATTGCAAAAAATAAGGAAATGCATCACAAATACACAATAAAAGATGGTACCGATCTGCAGAAAAGAAGCACATGCTAATTTATAGATATAGATATAAATGTAGAAATAATAACTGTAATTAAATCTATATCGCAGCATGGCAACAAAGACTATGACCAGGTGCTATGCAGTCACAGACTCTGTTAGTCTGCTGTACGAGCTCCCCTTTGATGATTCCTAATATTGGACAGGACAGCCCACCAAATAAAGGACTGTGCTCTGTAAAAAAAAAGGAGAAAAAAAGCACAAGGTCTGCTTTACTTGAGACATGATGATTTCTCATATCTGAGTCATTACAACATTATATTGTCTGCTCTCATCCACCATCTGTTGTAAACTCTGCATATATTATGGTGGTGGTGATGGCAGAGGTGGAGGAATCTGGCCAGAGAAAAAGCAGAAATGCAGATCCATTCCAGGCCTCCCCCAGTCCAGCTGTGCTACTAGAAAAGAAGTCCATAGACAAGAGTTGCAAAATATTCAAAAATGCAAATGAGCCATTAGAGAGAAGCATAAGCATTTTGCTGCTTGTCTAAGACTACATAAACAAGGTCAGATCCTTTTAGTGTGGCATAATTAATCTCAAATAAGATCCACTGCCCCATTTTGTATGCAGAATCACTAACACTGTTTGGACCATAGAGGGGGCCTCTAGCTCCCATCAGCCCCAGACAGCATGGTCAGGAATGATGGGAGTTGTAGGGTGCCACATTACAATAGTCCAATCCCAAGGTTACCAATGAATGATTCCCTGAAGCTATAATGGCATAGCAGCCAATGCTATGGGACTCTTAGCCACTAAGGTCACCACGGACAAAGATGGTTCAAGGAGCTGCCCTAGACTGTGCATCTATTCTTTCAGAGAGATTGCAACCCAGTCCAGAAGAGGCATGTACACCCAGGAATCACTCGCCCACAGAACTTTCATCTAAAGATTGGGCTTATTGGCTGTCATCTAGCCCTCCACCGTGTTTAGACACCAGCTTAGGACTTGCCCCAGCATACCCAATTCAGCTGTAACAGAGAACTAGAGATAGGTATCATCAGCCCACTGGTGACACCATGTTGTGAATCTTCTAATGACCACTCCCAACAGCTTCTTATAGATCAGGTGTGCCAACTCTAGGGGGCGGTGGTGTTGCCAGCCCCCCTCAATATTCCTTAGCCAAGCTGAGCATGGGGAAGCATCAAAGGCAGGCTCCTGAGCGTGAGAGAAGAGGAGCCATGGACATTGAAGTTGCACGGCACTGGGCAAGGCCTCCTACCAACGATGCACCTCCTTTCACCACCACATGCACACTGGGCCACTGAGCCCCCCACAATCTTTGGCCCAAGGTGGTGCATCTGCTGTAGATGAGGGGTGGGGGGACTTTTTTCAGCCTGAGAGTCACATTCCCTTCTGGGTAGCATCCCAGGGGGCTAAATGTCAATGGTGGGCATGTCCAGAGACAAATTTCACCTGCGTCCATAGCCACACTTCCCCTTCTATCCTCCATCCAGAGCCATTATTAGAGTTCAGGGCAAAGAAACTCAAGCAGGGTGCAAGGCAGGGTTGGTGAGGGATGTGTCTCGGGAGGGTGTGAGTCACATTGCTTCTACACTCCCCACATGGGACATGGGTCTAAACCACTGAGCCTCTTGGGCTTGCCGATCAGAAGGTCAGCGGTTTGAATCCCTGCAATGGGGTGAGCTCCCGTTGCTCAGTCCCAGCTGCTGCCAACCTAGCAGTTCGAAAGCTCGTCAAAGTGCAAGTAGATAAATAGGTACCACTGTGGCGGGAAGGTAAATGATGTTTCTGTGTGCTCTGGCTTCCATCACGGTGTTCCGTTTCGCCAGAAGTGGTTTGGTCATGCTGGCCACATGACCCGGAAAGCTGTCTGTGGACAAACATTGGCTCCCTCGGCCTGAAAGCGAGTTGAGCGCCGCACCCCATAGTCGCCTTTGACTGGACTTAACCATCCAGGGGTCCTTTACCTTTACCATTACCCTCCTCACTTCTTTGTGGTATCCAAACCATTTCCTCAGTTCAGTGGCTCACAACATAGTGAGCTTCCAACCCACAGGGGCCTAGACTGGGTAGTCCACTTTGTGCTGGAAACAGGAGTGGAACTCCAATCTAGGGTCGTGCAACTCCCTAGCATGCAACCTGTAGATTGCTCTTTCCATCTGCAAAGAAAATTAATCAGTGACTAATAAGAGGAAACACAAAGCATGCCCAAGGGAGTGTCATGGCACCTTAAAAGACCAACAGATTTATTGTGACATAAGCTTTTGTGGAATTAGAGCCTAGATAGAACCATAGTGTTTAATTAGCAAACCAATCCACTCACAATGGGCCTCACCAGAGGCTCTGCAAATGGAATCAGATTGCAGGCTGGTTATAAAGAATGGGACGACTTTCTGCCTGTGGAGGATAAAGCTCTCTGTTAGAATGGAGAGCAAATGCACATTGTACCTCTAGGAGGAATAGCTCAGACCTAAATTTATTTATAGTTAAGCCTTTTATATAAACCACTTAGACTTAGCAGTGAATACGTGGGCTTGAAAGAAGACGGGCTTGGATGTTCCATCAGGGAGTGAGACAATGTGAAAGGCCCAGACCCAGGGAGCTGAAAACGTATTTTATATAAACTGGGCTCTGGATGCAATGCTGGAAATTAAGATAATTTTAAAGATGTTTTCCCCCCCTCTCTTTTCACCTTGCAACCGTTATTTGGTTCAATCATAGGGGGGTGGAGGCAACAACAGGTGAAATGTGAATGGGAAAATTAATACCCAAAATTATTTTTTATGGTCCAACTTTAGCTCAGTTGGTAGGGCAGGAGACCAATTTCAGGGTCATGGGTTCGAGTCTCACACAGGGCAAATGATATCTGCATTGCAGGGGGTTGGACTAGATGAGACTTCTTGATTCCTTCCAACTGTACAGATCTTTGATTCAATGATTCTGTAAGGACATATACTCACGATGGCTATTTATTTATGTATGTATTTATGTATTTATGATGGCTTCAGTATCAGTATTCGTCTGAATACCAACTGATGGAGAGCACAGGAAGGAGAGCATTGTCCCGTTCCTGCCCTCCTTCTAAGCATGTGAAGGACAGCAGAAGGGGAGAAGGAAGGCAATAATATAAGGAAAGGCTCATGGTTGTATTTTCTCACAACTAAGCATAAACTAAGGGACGCAGGTGGCACTGTGGGTTAAACCACAGAGCCTAGGGCTTGCTGATCAGAAGGTTGGTGGTTCGAATCTCCGCGACGGGGTGAGCTCCCGTTGCTCAGACCCTGCTCCTGCCAACCTAGCAGTTCGAAAGCACGTCAAAGTGCAAGTAGATAAATAGGTACCGCTCTGGTGGGAAGGTAAACAGCGTTTCCGTGCGTTGCTCTGGTTTGCCAGAAGCGGTTTAGTCATGCTGGCCACATGACCTGGAAGCTGTACGCTGGCTCCCTCGGCCAATAAAGCGAGATGAGCGTCGCAACCCCAGAGTCGGTCATGACTGGACCTAATGGTCAGGGGTCTCTTTACCTTTAAGCATAAACTATGGCTTAGCATTATGTCTGAAATGGGCTGGTGGCTTCCAGGCAAGAGAGATTGCTCAGAGTACAGGCTGTGCTGGATGCTTTCTGAAGCTGGTCAATTGTGACCCAGTGTTTTAGAAGGACTATGGCTAATGCTATGACAATTATCACAGTGAATATATTGTATCTCTCAGCTGCCATTACTTGCAAAGCTGTTCCAGAAAGTGAATCTGTGCTGGCTCCATGCAGAGATAGAGCGATCTTGTACTTGTTATGATGAGTTTGGCATCTATGTTGCAAAAGCAAAATTATTCATATTCAATCTGATTTCCAGGGTGTCAATTTAGATGATGTACTGATGCTTATGTATCTGAATTGTCTCCAACCCTATATTGTCCCCCTGGGCCAAAACAGGCCATGCAATAATGCTTAAAGTAGAGAGATGTGGAACCTTTGACCCACCATATGTTGTTGATCTCCAACTCTCATCATCCCTTGCAATTGGAGGGTCTCAGAGCTGGAGTCCAATGATATTTGGAAGGCCACAGGTTCCCCATCATTGGCTTAAAAAGCCTATGGACGGCTAGTTGCCCAAACTGGCCAATTCCTTTACAACTGCTACTTAGGAAGCTCTCAGCTCTTACACAACCAATTATTAGTTTAGGGGATGGGACAATTCCTCTCCAAGCCTTGATTCCTTTCCTTCTCCCAAGGCTGGCAACATCTACTTGGTGTGGAATGCAAGATCCCCAAAACAAAATAATTCCCCTGGCATCTGGCCAGGGGAGCCATGTATGTAGTAGCCAGTTGGACATGTGGAAGTCAATCTGGCAAGTGGCGTACGTGTATGTACATAAGGGAAGCTTGCTTGTGTACGCACAACCCACACTTGCGGGATTAGGTTTACCTGGCTTAGAAAAGAATAGACTGAGATAATAAGATAGCCCAGGCAATACACATCTTCAGATAACTAACGCCCTCTGGTGATAATCAGGCTAAGCCATCTATTAATAGTTTATAAGACTAGGTTCTGTTGACCTAGATTGCCTGAGTGACCCGCTGCTGTGGTGAGGAAGTACACGGTCTTTCCCTGTCTTTCTTGCTGTCCTTTGCTACGCAGTTGCAGAAGCTCTTTGCCTTGGGGCTTCCTGAAGGCACTGAGCTTGTGAACCTACTGTAATGCAGAGTGTGGTTCTTAGAGTTTTATGCATCTACCTTTGGGAGGAAATGTCTGCCAGTAAGCCGGGGAGAAATCTTATACAGTTTTGAGCAACGCGACTATTTGCTGCTGCTCCTTTCTCTCTCTCTCTCTTAAATATATCTTTATTGTTTATAAAATAGATACATTTATCCCTGGAAAGCAAACCAGCCAGCCAACCAACCAACCAACCAACTAACATACATACAATCAAATAAACAAACTATAAATTGACATATGGTTTGAAGCTCAACATCAAAAAAAAGAAGATCATGGCCACTGGTCCCTTCACCTCCTGGCAAATAGAAGGGGAAGAAATGGAGGCAGTGAGAGACTTTACTTTCTTGGGCTCCATGATCACTGCAGGTGGTGACAGCAGCCACGAAATTAAAAGACACCTGCTTCTTGGGAGAAAAGTAATGACAAACCTAGACAGCATCTTAAAAAACAGAGACATCACCTTGCCAACAAAGGTCCGTATAGTTAAAGCTATGGTTTTCCCAGTAGTGATGTATGGAAGTGAGAGCTGGACCATAAAGAAGGCTGATCGCCAAAGAATTGATGCTTTTGAATTATGGTGCTGGAGGAGACTCTTGAGAGTCCCATGGACTGCAAGAAGATCAAACCTATCCATTCTTAAGGAAATCAGCCCTGAGTGCTCACTGGAAGGACAGATCCTGAAGCTGAGACTCCAATACTTTGGCCACCTCATGAGAAGAGAAGACTCCCTGGAAAAGACCCTGATGTTGGGAAAGATGGAGGGCACAAGGAGAAGGGGATGACAGAGGACAAGATGGTTGGACAGTGTTCTCGAAGCTACCAGCATGAGTTTGACCAAACTGCGGGAGGCAGTGGAAGACAGGAGTGCCTGGTGTACTCTGGTCCATGGGGTCACGAAGAGTCGGACACGACTAAACGACAAAAATAAATTGACAGACAGGCAATAGCAATATATGAAACAACACAATTCTTATAACTAACATCATTTGTGCTCCCAATGATGTGAACGATTGTAAGACTTATAAAACAAGAAATTTAAAATGACTTCCATCTGCTGCTTCTTTCTCATATTGTGTGACATCAGAATCAGAATAGCACAGAGAGGTGACGAGTTTTTTGGGGTTTTTTTTTTAAAGGGAGGGGATTTGCAAATGGGAGCATCCCTGTTTGAACAACTGCTTGCATTTACAAGGTGAGCAAAACTCGGGTCACCTTGCAGATGTGAACTCCTGCTGATGCCTTTCCTTCCAAGTGCCCCCAAAGAGAAGTGGGGAGCTGTTAGTACTGAAGTTGATAGCAGATGCTCCAACTTCCTTGCACACCAACCTTAACCAACAAAAAAGAGCCTTGGAGTCCCAGCATCCCTGGTTGGAAATGAAGCTACTGGAATGGCCTTCTCCCCAGCAGAAATAGATGCTGATAGCATCGTTTTTCCTACTGAGGATGTTGGGACTTGTCCCAATCCTCTCCTTGGTGGTAAACAGTGCTTCTCTAGGGAGCTGCGGCTCCTTCCACTTCCTGTCTCTACAACATCTGTGGGTCCTTCAGCAGGCAGAGGAAGCAGGAGCTACAGCCTAAGCCTCTTTCATTAAAAAAAGGGTCAAAACACATATGTAGATCTTAAATAAGCACTTGCAAATGCAAACAAATCTCTCTATAAGCAAAAAATTGGTTAGTATTGAGCATTTTAATGATAAAAAGGCCTTATCATCCCCTCCGTTTCCATTGTTCAGACATGAGTGTCATTGCTTATGTAACCAAAATATCACACCTCACACAAGAGGGAAGGTATCAGTAGGGTTGGGTTGTAGAAAAGTAATAATAATAATAATAATGTTTTATTTATACCGTGCCCATCTGGCTGGGTTGCCCCAGCCATTCTGGGCAGCTTCCAACGCACATAAAATAATAATAAAACATCAAATGTTAATAGTAACAATCTGATCCAATATAAAAGGTCACAATAACTTTAAAATAAACAACTTATATCAAATAAATAAATAAATATTCAATAACCCATTTGAACCCAATAGTAAACAGTAAAATTAAATGTTGGGGAAGGGGGACTTAAGGGGGTAGACTCCCTAAATTGACCAGTGAGGACTATTGATGATGACTCATAAAGTGCTGAATGACTGATGGGGATATAAAAAAGCATGTTAGGAATGGGAATGCAATGGAGTATTTTAGCAGAGTAAAGTTTTATTCCAAATCTTAGTTTGTTTGGAAGGCATTCATCACAGTTCCTCATCTGTACATATTGGGAGACTATGATTAACTGCCAAGTTTCCTTAAGCACTACCACATATATAAAGCAGATGTTTCGTAGGTGATGGATCATATCTCACACTCTTTGGAGGGGTTGACTTCAACCTTGTCAAACTCAGGACCTGTGTGTTGTGTTGGCATCCGTCTGTCTTGGGAGACATTGGAAGCATGTATCTTGGGGGGGTGAAGTCAAACCATTGGAGAGTTACAGCGCCTGCTGTGGCTGTAGAGACTGATATGGGAGAGACATTGCAGGTGGGGCAGATGAAGGTGTCTGGATGCACCATGGCATTTCTTCTCTCTGCAAGCCTCCCAGCGGTCATCCCTCCTCTGGTCACTGCTGTGGATAAACAACCTGACTGCCTGTCTCCAGGCACTGCAATCCTCTGCAGAGGTTTCCCATATGGTGGGTTCTCAACCTTTTTATTAACTTCTTGCCATATATTTGCCTGGTGGTACTGCTGTTATCACAGCTGCCAACTCCCTGGGGCCCTGAGCACCCACAAAATTCCCCACGAAGGGGGTGGGCGCCCACAAATTTTGGTGCCAGGGCCATGCAGGCTGCATGGCACCCATGGCCCTGGGTGCCCACAGTCGCGGGGCCAAGCTGACACTCCTGGCTGTTATTGTGACCCACCTTAGGTCAGGTGGTAATCCAGAAGTGGGTCGTGACCCACCTGTTGAGGACCTCTTTTCTGGACTAAGTGAAGAAGTTAGCCCCTAACATTTAACATACTATTTAGATTAAGTGACACACAACCGCCCTGTTAACAACTTAGCGTTGTATGCAAAAAGAGGGGGGGGGAATCATGTTGTCAAACATATATGCACACCCATTCACACACAGAAGAGGTCATATTTTGGGTCTATCTTAAGAATCCAGCTTCAATTAGGAACATAGGAAGCTGCCATATACTGAGTGAAAGTACTGGTCCATCTGCAAATGGCTGTCCAAGGTTTCAGACAAGAATCTTTTCCAGCTCAACCTGAAGATGCTGGACCATTGACAAAGCAGATGTTCTACCACTGCACTTCAGCTCTTTCCAGTTACACTGACCCTTTATTTCATGATAGTAGATGGTTTAGGCTAAAATGCGCTCAGGTCTGATAAAATCTCATTTGAGGACCCACACATTGACTTTTCCCAGTACTTTCAAAAAGATCTCTGATCAAAGTTCTCCACCTGCTGGATATGGTTTGAAATTAACACTGGCTCTTTGAGGGACTCAGTACAAGATGGGTTCTCAGCACGAAATGTGAACTAATTTCTAACATTGTTGAGTTTATTATTTATATGAATAAAGAAAATAATCAGAAAACAACTGAATGTAAATGTCTATGCTACATTACCTGTACAGTTACTGCTTATTTTAGTGGGGAAGTTATGTAATAAGATGTGTCTCCTAGCGACAGTCTTCAAAACATAAGTTGCTTTAAGCCAAGATTAATTAAATCAAGTTTGGAAAGCAATCACTAATTATACAATCACCCAGTAGATTAAAAATAAAATAAGGGTGTACTCTAAATTTATTCCTCAGATTGCAAGAGGGAAGAGGAACAGGCCTCAGACTTGGATGATTCCCTTCCATTTTCATCTGGTATCTATTTGAAGATAGGATTCATTTGGACCCTCTGAGATTAGAGCCTTTTAATCAGGGGTAGGGAACTTGCTATCCTCAAGGTTTCTTCAAATGGTCCTTGGCCTATTTCATGTGTGGGGTGGGAGCTGAGAGGGAGAGAAGGCAGGGAGGAGAGGAAAAAGGGGGTGGGCAGGGACAAGACAGAGGGATGGATGCAAGGAGGGGGAAGCCCTCTGTAACTGATCTGTCCCAACCTCTGACAAGGACAATTTGTTCCAGATGTACTTCTTGCACAAAGGATGGTGACCAAAACACACATTAGGTATGACAAAATATCCCCAACTGCCTCGGCAGCTAGTCTCCTGAGGCCATTTGTGTATGGCCTGGACCAGATTGCTCCAGAGTCTGGTGAACTGGAACAAACTAAAAACATAGACTAACATTACAATCTCCCAGAAGTCCAATGCATGGTATGTGTGTGTGTGTGTGTGTGTGTGTGTAAGAGAGAGAAAGAGAGCGCTCTCAAAAACAGAGTAGGGTATGGCCATAGCTGTCAACTTTCAGATTTGAAAACAAGGGATCAGCAGCCTCAACTGTCCCAGGGACAGTCTACGGGATATCAAAAAATCCAGGATAGCAGCGGGAAGCAGCGGGAAACAACGCTGAAATAAGGGAATTTCCCGCAAAAAAAGGGAAGGTTGACAGCTATGGGTAGGGCCTGCCCACTACAGTCGTACCTCGGCTCCAGAACACCTTGGGAGTCAAACGTTCCGGCTCCTGAACAATTGAAAACCAGAAGTGAGTGTTGTGGTTTTTGAATGTTTTTTGGGAAGCCGAACATCTGACGCGACTTCCGCTATTGTTTCCAGCATGCCTGCACAATTGGAAACCAATAGGAAGCTGTGCCTTGGTTTCCGAACTTTTTGGAAGTCGAACGGACTTCCCGAACAGATTCCGTTTGATTTTCAAGGTACAACTGTACTTAATTTGTACAGACCCACTACCAGCGTGCTCCCTCAATGGACAAACGAAATAATTATACACATGCCTTACCTTTTTGTGTTTGTAATAGTAGAGGCAGCCATCGTGCTTTAGCACAAACCATCTCTTCCTCCAGCCCTTCAGGATTCCTGACTGGGTTCGTTTGTGCAGATATCCTCGACATGTCGGGCGAGGGGTGTTGGGACAACGACTGATATCAGAGCCAACCAACAATGTCAAGATATCTGGACCTGAAATATTTGATTATATTGTGGTCTATTACAAGGTAAATTAAAACCAAGTCTATGAAGCAGGGAGGTGGGAAAAACTCTTCTATATTATTATTACTTACTAAATTTGTATACAGCCTTTCATCCAATACAAAATACAAATCGAGAACACAAAATACATAATAAAATGAAAACTAACCAATAACCCCCTGTTTTCACAAGGGTGTTTGGATGTTAATCAGCCTAAGGCCTGGTTGAGGCGAGGGGGCATCCTGACTGATAATATTTTTTTAAAAAACACTCCTTAGTAAATAGAGATAGATGTGGTAAATGACTGCCATTCTCCTCAACGCAAGTGTGTGCATTGCACACCTATAATTAATGAATTTGGTATGTGTGTCAAGGTAAATTTGTCAGTCACTTGTGAAATCATTTTTCATTATTAAACCTTTATTGATCTCTGTCAAATTCATAGCATGGTGGAATTCAGTATGTGGTGGAATTAACTGACATGCACTAAAGGGTACAGTTTGGTTTTAATATATCCCAGGGAAATAATTCAAAATTAATTTAAGTGGCATTTTGTTTCCCCTGTATAAGACACTCTCCTCATCAAGTAACGTATTAGTTGCACCTGGATGTTGGTTCTCTTATACACAGACAGGTCTAACGTGTTCATTGAGCCAGCTATGAATTTTCCTTCTGAAGAAACACCAGACATAAATAGTAGATTGATGTCTTGAAGGCCACTGTCAGGACCCATCTGTCTTTGAGGCATAGGACCCAAAAGCAATATTGCTAAATGTGCTCTTTCCACCTGACATTTTGGCCTAGACTTAAGTGATACTATGAGCAGATAACAATATTAGTAGCTGGCACAAAGAGAAAATGAGGGTCTTTTATCCAACCAAGGCTTTCCTCTCGGATCACTGTCACCTTATTGCTCCATCAGTCTCCGCATGTCCAAAGTAACTTGCCCTTACTGTCAAAGTCAGCTTTTCCAATGCAGCTGAGTGATAAAATTCATAGGTAGGCTCTCTCTTGAAAGATACTTTTTCTTTTTTTAAATTGAATCTGTGGCACTTTCAAGCACACTTACATCAGAAATGTCAATCTGTTTTCTCTGGCCTCTCTTTAATTTGCTCCTGCTTTTCCCCTTGCAATTATTGCAAGAGCTCATGAAGGAAAATAATCCCTAGGCCAGAGTTTATTTTGCACCTGCAGTTAGGAGAACAGCCTGACCAAAGCTCCTTCACGTGTGTTTCTTTCAGAGCAGTTATTTTCTCAACAGAAACATTTTCATCTTGGATAACACAATAGCCCTTTTCGGGCCTTCTGAACTTATGTAAAGCCTACTACATGTGAGTAGGAATAAAAATGTCAAGCTCTGCCTTCATCATCAACCCTGTCACTCTCCAGCTCATGGAGATAAAAGTCTGGTTGTAGCTCCTGAATAGTGTTGGCTCTTTGGTAGTGAGTTTGGCGAACAGAAGGATATTAGGTTCCTAGAAAGTGGTTTTTAAAAATCTATATAGTCAAATGTGACTAGACAAAATTGGGCAAGGCAAGGACTGAATAGTTTCTGAACCAAGGAACTGATTAATAGTTGCACAAATTACTCCCATACACCTTCAATTAGTGACAGGCAGACCTGTCAATTTTGTGCTTCTCATTTTTCCAGTCTTCAGTTCTCTCCCTATTTCCACATCAGTTTTTGATATTTTTTTTAGGCCTCGTGAAAATTTATCAGCATTTTAGTGCAAATTTCTCCTAATATGCATATGTTTGTATGCGATTTTGCATTTCTGCAAAACAATTTCCCCTATTCTAGTGCATGAGTTATTTTCACTGTTTCCATGAACCCTGTGCCTTAGTAATATATGCCTGTTTGAACACATTCCTTGGCTGAAAAACTGTGCTGCAAAATTTCGAGGAGTGTGGATTTCAAGAGATGGCTATGTTTTGGTTCATGTATTGTTTTGGAAAGTGTGATTTTGGAAATTTTTCTTTTAAATGCAAACTGAATTTAATTTGTCCCCTGTCCATACTTGCAACAGACTTTTAAGCAGGAGCAAGTGTGTGTGTAAAAATCCTTGGACATTCATAGGAGAACACAAAAATTATTTGAGATTCAAGAGTTGGGGGCAGGATTGCTACATTATGTACAATCTATTTAAAAAATGTTGCCCAAGGGCTGGTATCTATTTTATTTCCTTTTTAACGTTTGAAATGAAGCTATAGTTGAGCGGCAGAATGCCCAATAATGTTGCTGCCACGCACTCTTTCTCCCCTGGAAATGTTGCCACATTATGATATTGTGTCATTAACAGGTAAAAGGTAAAGGGACCCCTGACCATTAGGTCCAGTCGTGGCCGACTCTGGGGTTGCAGTGCTCATCTCGCTTTACTGGCCGAGGGAGTCAGCACACAGCTTCTGGTTCATGTGGCCAGCATGACTAAGCTGCTTGTGGCGAACCAGAGCAGCGCACGGAAACACCATTTACCTTCCCGCCGGAGCGGTACCTATTTATCAGCTCTTCAGACGTGCTTTCGAACTGCTAGGTTGGCAGGAGCAGGGACCGAGCAATGGGAGCTTACCCCATCGTGGGGATTCGAACCGCCGACCTTCTGATCGGCAAGTCCTAGGCTCTGTGTTTTAACCCACAGCGCCACCTGCGTCCTGTCATTAACACAACACTGTAACAAAACAAAAAAAAGTGGCTGCCTCCTATTTATTTTCACTATCGAAGTTTATGGTTTTTGCTTGGTAAAAACTGTCAAATCTTGGTTCAAAAAACCTGACCAAAAAAACCTCAGCAAAGCAGTTAACTGCATTGGCATCATTACCTTTTCTTGCCAAATTTGCAGCTTCTGAGTGTGGCATGCTGCTAACGTCCGTTCCATTGACAGCCATCACAATATCTCCAATCTGGAGGCCTGCTTCTTCTGCTGAGCTGTCTGCAACAGAAGGGGAAAAGGACCCTTATTTGGGACATTTTGATAATATGCCAAGAGGAGTTCACCTTTCACGCATAAAGGGGTCAGGGGATCAGTTTTCCTTCCAGCCATTTTTTTTTTTTTTGTGGGGGGCAACTTGACAAACATAGAAAAGTTTAGCTTTCACATGCTGGCTGGGGCTGATAGAAGCCGTAGTCCAAAACATCAGGAAGGCACAATGTTGAGGAAATCTGGAATATGCTCAAGTTATTCTTGGTTATCGTAGGCACGGTTATTGAGGCACGGGGCATGGAGGGAGCCTGTGGTGGCTCCCCTCACAAAGAGCTCTCAGGATGCACCCGGGAACGGAACTGTGGCCAGGCACGAGGAAGCCGCAGCTTTCTCATGCTCTGTGGCCTTCCTCTACAGTTGCCACAGCCATGCGCAAGCCAGGCTCCGATGGCAGAGCCTGTTGTAGGGGTGCCTGGTCATGCCTCCTCAAAAAAACATGCGCGGGGCCACAGCCTCCCCCAACATGGAGGGAGAGTGTTGTTCTACCTGACAAACTGAAAATATTGGACCGATTGCCATAGCACTATGCTGAATTCCTCCCTTAAAAGTGAAAACAAAGAGATCATACTATGTCACAAACTGAAATAGATACCATGTTGGTATAGAGACCAGAAGTACAGGCAAGAATTCCCACCCACCCACTGTTCCATTCAAAGAAAAGGCATTTTAAGATCAAAACACAGCAGAGCAGAGTCTGCGTCAAAGGCCTGAATTTTTCTTGCTCTTGAGCTGTGCCTTCCTCATTATTGCAAAGAAGGACGGAAGCCATAAATTCACTTAGAAGGAAAAACAATTGCTGGTAGGATAGAAAAGCACGCTTGATCCGAAAGTGCTAAGGTATCCTCCTTTGGGTTATTGTTCGGCAGCTGAAAACTGCATGGACTACTTTTTTAGGAAGACTTATATAAAGTCAGGCTAGGAATAGACAAGAACTTACATAAGCAGAAAATATGTTCAACGTAGGTGCATTTGAATCCTACGAGGATGTGTACCAGAACCATCATTTTACCTTCCGTTTTCAGTATATAATTAAACTGTCATAATGTACCAGGTAAGCATGTTTCCCACCCCCCAGAAAAAAGCACACAAATGTCCTCTTTGATTAACTTAAGTAAAATTTTAACATTACTAGTACCTTGTGATTTAATAAGTGTGTCTTACAACATAAACCCCAGAGTCCTGTCTTAGAGCAATGGGGAAGGAAATCAGAAGGCTAACAGGGAATGAGAGATACAAGACCACTGTGAATTTCTGCTCTTTCCATAAAAAAGCAAAATGATAAATTATACATTATGACCATTCTGCTATTCAACAGACTGATAACTCTAGAGATGTGATATGGGATTTCTGAAGCTATTCCAGTATGCTCAACAATTTAAGGACTTCAGATGCAATTTTTTGTGATCTCTATTTGCTTCATTTTGGAGAGAAGAAGCCATTTTGTAAGAATTTGTTCCAGAATTATTGGCTCTTGCCATTTGGAAATGAAAGCAAATAGCCAAAATGGTTTTCATGGTAACTACTTTAGGCTTCTCTGTGTTCTACTCTTGAATCGTGTATGGCTTCTGAAAATCCACCTCAGTCACTGACATTCCCAAGACCCAAACATAATGTTTTAGAAAACATTTGGCTTAAGGAAGAAATGGAAGTCTGGTCCCAGTATAGCAGGAAAATTATGATAAATGTCATAATCAGGCAGGGGTGCCAACTTGAATAAAATATTGGGGGAGCCCAGGTAAGGCCTGCCCCACATAACTGATCACATGACGCAGTGCGTGCACACCATTTGAATGTCAATGCCCATCAACTGTGAGAGGGGCGGGCACCTCAAATATTTTACTGGGGGAGCTGAAGACTGGAGTTGGCTCCTATGTAACCAGGGGTTGGCCCTAACATAGCATCTTCTCCATCTTGGCTGCACGGTCCCTCAAAATTATAACAGCATTCAGATGTAATGCTAAAGTATGCTCCTCAAACACTAGCTTCTTCCCTCAGGTGGGGGTGGCAACTGAATACTTCCATTCCTGATCTAGTAGCAAACCAACTTGCCACTTCATCTGAATCTGGTAAGTGACAGTTTCTTCAAACCATAGTTTCTCTGTATGCTAGGATTGCAAACAGTGGCTTACAGATTTCACCGGTGAGCAAAACTATGGTACAGACAAGCCATAGTACACTAGGCTTGCATGAAATGGCAAAGTCAGTCACATGAGGGGAAGGAGAGGAACATATCTGTGAAGTAGTAGGCTCATGCTTATAATCCTAAATAATTCCTATAGGCAGTGCTTTTTTTTAAAAAAACAAACCTTTAGGGGTTCTCTCATTTTCCTACTCATATTGAAATACTGTCCCTCAATGAGGCCAAACTTATATTCACAAAATGTTTAGGGGTATGCGTACCCCTGCGTCCTCCCAGAAGAAAAGCACTGCCTATATAGGAATCCTATTTAGCTATTACAGGAGCAAGTCAGATGCAGGGAGCTGATCTTGTTAAAAATTCAGAAAGAGAAGAAAAAGCCTGTATGATTTTTTAACTGCCAAATAGTTTCTTGCTTTATACGGATCACTGACCTTTTTTGTCATGATCATCACCTCTCCTTAGCAGAGATATATGGTTGGGAGGGGAAATTGCCCCAGGCTATGCCTGACCCTTTTAGTTTCATTAAATGAAAAGTCAGTCAGGGAAGATCATTTATCAATAAGTAAATGGCACATAAATGGGCATCTGTTCCTCCTCTTATCATTTTCAGTATAACAGCCAACGTCATTCGCAAAAGCAACCCCTAATCCATTTTCAGGAGGACTATAAAATTAAGTACAGGTATAATGCAGAATGATACTTTTATGTCGCTATCTATATTGCAGAGAAAATCAACTTCATAGCAACAATAATAAAAAGAACACAAGAGACTTGTTGAGCTGCCAGCTAGCGGTTTGCCCCGAGGCTCTTTGTCATCATAAATTCAGTGGTGCTCTGAGCTTCTTTTTAAGCACTCTGCCATGCAAGTCACTTAGGATCTACTCATAAGGAAAATGAGCTTTGTGGGTATCACTTACTGGTGTCCACTTCAGTTACAAGGATGGGCTTTGAGAATTGGATCCGGAATCCCCAGGGGTAATCACCTGTTCCTTTAGCAATTCTTACAGTTCGTTCACGAACTAAAACAAGACAAAGAGAGAGAAATAAAACACCTGACGTCGTGTTTTTCTAATATAGCTGGAAAAATCCCCCTCCCTCCCTCAGAGGCAGATGCATTTTTTTAAATTTTGAATTGCAAAGAGTACTGGCTACAGGTGAAACTCTCTGTTTAAACTGGTAATTTGTAAAAAAAAGGGGGGGAAAGGTATACACAATGTACATTCGTAGATCTGAGGAACGGAACCAGGCACATACAAATAAAACCATAGGTGTTACCTGCTACGGGTCTGGGCCTTTTGCTAAGACACCTGGGGCTGTTATCCGGACTGGCATCATCCCCTCTGAACACCCAAGACATTGAGTGGAAGATCTCAGTGTAGAAACCTCTCTCTTCACTTTCACCACGCAGACCTAGATCCACTGAACGGCCATCCTCCGAGTTTACTGGAAAGTGACAATAAGAGAATGGATTTGTTTCCCTATCCCAGAATCTTTTTTATTATTATTCTTTTAAGGCAAAGATATAGGGAGGAATTCAGTGTAATGATCTGGCCTGAGTGAGGCACATTTCAAAGGGCCCACATGTAAATGGTCTGTAGAGGACCATGAAACTCACTGGGTGATCCTAAACACTATTTGCTGAAACTGCCTTATAAAATAGGAGGGGAGAGGAGATAACAGTCTTGGAGCTCCCTGGAAGAAGGGCACAATATAGATGGAATAAAAGTGGTGAACATGTGTTACATTTTTAAAGGTTTGATCCAAGGAGGCTGTTAACTGTTTCAAGCTTTCTAGATTTGGTTTCCAAATATATAAAGTTAGAAAAGGTCAGGCTTTGCGGTCATTGTAATGGATTACACTTACGGACGGTAAAATAATCTGATTTTCAACACACACACAAACACACACGCTAAAATGGTTTGGAGGTAGTGCATATTCACAAGTCCAGAGGATGTAAAGTGCATGCATGAGTCACATTCCCATCATGTACAAATGATGCAAGATAAATTTCTTGCCCAATGACATTCAGTTACTAAGTCAATGGCTGAACAAAGATTTGGACCAAAGTTTCCTGAGCTCAAGTCCAGCGCTGGTGGCATTTATGCTCATGACGCTAAAAACACTTCTTTTCTGTGTGTACATGTATGGCGATGTAGTGGCTGTTCCAGGTTTGGGGGCAGTCCTTGGGCAAGATGGCTTCTTCACCCCCTTTTCCCATGAGTGTCTACTCCTTGGCTACTGTCCTCTCTTTGTGCTCTCTTTGCCCTGCCTCTCTCTGGGCCCAAGTCTACACGACTGCCCAGAGTGGGAGTGCAAGGCAATTGGAAGCTGCTGCATCATATCCATGGTGCTTTCATGGCTCAGAGAGGAAAGATGAATAGGCAACAATAGCAACAAAGAGCCTGCAGGATCCAGGCCTTGGTGGTGGGCCCCACAGGAATGTGTGGGTGCCTGATGGTGCCAAACCATTTAATACTACTAACCAGGAACAGAAAGCAGGAGAGAGACACTTTCATTCTGATGCAAGCCTATGCAACTTGGGATCCCCCCCTAATTCCAGACACACATTGCCAGACATGTGCCCAAAAACTCTACTGCTCCTGTTTTTACAGCTAAACACGGAGGACCATCAAACCTTGGTGGGCTGCCATGCATAGCTGATATGATGCCTTCAACTTGGGAGGTCACAAGTTGCACATCTAGCCAATTTAGTTTTTACATTCATGCTAGAAAATGTGGGGAGGGGAGAAGTATTTGGTGTCACACAATCTATTTTTCCTTTTCGTTACCCTAGGAATCTAGGACACACTAATTTCTATGTCTGCATAAAATCAGAAAAGTGGCTCAGACACACTTTTCCCCATTCCAGTGAAGCTCCATTGATTTAATGCCCTGCTCCCCAGTTCAAGTTGTCTGACCTCCTCAAACAAGCACTCTGATGCATTCTTCTTGCTTAGGAAAACAGATGAGGCTTCTGGAGATTCAGTATTATGAGCCAGTATTCAGAGATGCTTGTTAATGTCAAGAATAGAAACTGGCAAGCAGCGGGTGTGTGTGGGAAGGAAAAAGTGAATCTATAATAAGTAATATCACTCAAGCAACGCTGGAGAGGTTTGAGCATTCATGTTAATCTTGACTCTTCAGTTCAGGTAAAAATCAATCTATCAGAATCTCAAACTTTATTCCTCTCACATTTAGCCACCTTCTATTTAGCCACTGCTAAGTTTAGAACCAAAAGCGCCTCTTTTTGTGTGTGTGTCACAAAAGCATCTTAAAAATATTCTCTTCTTCCGCTTCTGAACACAGGACTATCTTTATCATTGACCAACACATTTCGACAAGGTCTGAGGACCTCCCTTATTCAGCTCAGTATTACAGAGGCAGAGTTACAGAAAGCAAACATTTCTCTGTGGCTCAGTTTTTACATGCCAGGTTTTTCCTTCCCATTAGCTCCCTCCTGACAGGTAGCATAACCTTAGCGTACTTTGATCATGGAACAGAAAATCACAAATATAGACTTCCACACAAAAGCCCACATGAACTTACCTTTGTGTTCTTGTTTTGACCACTGAAGGTCCATGTGCCACAAATCTACTATCTTTGTCAAAATCCACAGGCTTTAAAGCTTAGTGATTATTGTTTAGGGTTGCACTGTGTAAAGACGGAGAGGGAGTTTCCCAGGAGCAGATTTGATCATATGGATGAGTGATTCACAGTTAATTCAGTCACTCAGACAGCGCTCATCAACATGGTGTTACATAAGGCATCACAACATTCATGATGTAGCACTTCCAAGTAGCAAGTCATTAGGCATGTCACATTTCTAGGTACAGGGCAGTGTTTGATTTTCTAAATACGCGATTCAAAGAATCATGCAGTGTGTCAAGCCCAGGGCTTGTTCGTGGTATCTGCTACTGAGTGCTTTTCAATCCACACTGTACAGTAACCTTAGAATTTAAAGTCACTCCATTATACATGATACCAACTAAACCTATCTTACAAAACGATAAAACATGGACATGATTTAGACTCATATGGGTCTGTTTGGAGCATAATGCGGCTTATGACCTACAGTACGAAGTTCTGAGTCATCATGCAGATTAAAGTTGTGCCAAACCTCATTCTGTCTGTATTTATGGACCCAACATCATTTCACTGAGTGAAATCCAACTACCTCAAACTCAGAGTATATTGATTGATTTCAGTGGGTCTACTCTAAATACATCCTGCTATAGTAATAATAATAATAATAATAATAATAATAATAATAATAATAATATATTATTTATACCCCGCCTATCTGGGCTTCCAACAAAATATTAAAATACAGTAATGCATCAAACATTAAAAGCTTCCCTAAACAGGGCTGCCTTCATATGTCTTCTACAAGACTGATAGTTGTTCTCTTTGACATCTGGTGGGAGGGCGTTCCACAGGGTGGGTGCCACTACCGAGAAGGCCCTCTGCCTGGTTCCCTGTAACGTGGATTCTTGCAGTGAGGGAACCACCAGAAAGCCCTCGGCGCTGGACCTCAGTAGTTTGTTCAGTTGGAGAGATTCAGTTCAGTTCAATAGATAGGACGCTATTCTCAGAGTCTCACGGGAAAACATTATCCTTTATAACAAAATGCAGCAGAAAGTGTCCGGGTTTGTACGCAGCCACAAGGCCAACCCATCAAACTCTTTCCTCCTTCTTAAACAGGCTACCTTGTTTAGACCTTGATGTATACCAAGAAGGGTATTGGGGCAACTCTATGAAGAGCCTACAGAGCGATAGTTCCAGATGAGTTCAAGTGAGTCAACCATGTGGAAAGTAGTTAGTCAGCCTTGGCACATGTAATGCAAGTGGGCCCACAGGACTGCCTTTGGCAGACAGTAAGAGTGGCACTCCTGCCTAACTCAGTTACGGTACTGCTGCCTGGTTCTTAGTTCAGACGAGTAGAAGGAAAGCCCAGCAAAGAACTAGAGCAGCTTCTCTCAGTCTGGAGACCTCCAGATGTTTTGGACTACAACTCCCATCAGCCCCAGCCAGTATGGCCAGTAGTCAGGTTGATGGAAGTTGTAGTCCAAAACATCTGGAGGACACCACGAGAGGGTAGCCTGGTCCAGAGTCTTGTATAGAAACACTCCATTGAACTAATTGATAGGACTTGTATTACAAAAAGGATAGGCACTGCTGCTTTGAGGAAAGGCAACTGCTGTGCTCTTGCATAGTTCCTGGCCATTTTTTCAGTGGGGATGGCCAGGGGATATGTTCCAATAGATTGTGCATCATGTGCACCAAAGATGTGGATTTCAGCTGTGCTCCAGAACAGCTTTGGGAGACATATGAAGGCTTTTGCAAACCTGACATGGATTAACACTTTAAACCACACATACACAAAATCTTACCGCAATTTCTTGAGCTGTGTCAACAGGAGTGTTCACACATTGCATTCAGCATGTGTGCAATCTGTACACACAAGTCTGATCTGTACCCTTGTACAGTTATTCACATGTAGTGTTCAATGAGTGCATGGTCTGTGTGCGTAAAAATTGAGCTATCAAGTGTATACTCTTTCACACAAACACCTATAGATGTGTAGAGATAGATTGTACATGTGTGCAGCGTAACATGTGAACAAGCCACTTCCTCTAAAATCAGCCATTTGACAGAAACAACTTGATCCGGTTCCTTACTATATTCCACACAGCCCTCCCCCCCCCCCACTTCTTCTGGGTTCAACTTCTATTTGGCTGGAGGATTGCTGACTCTCTGCTTCCAGAGGAGTGTTTAAAGAAAGTGGTTGGGGTGAAACCAATATTAAGTCAAATAACTGCCAGATAAATGTGATTTTTGGCAGGGTGAAGCAATTGCTTTTTCCTTGTTTCATGGCTGACAGTTAATTACATTCTTTACTTGTGATGTACTCATTAGAGGAATCTTCTGCAAAGGCATAGACATTCAGAGTAAATTAATTTTTGATTTGTAAATATTGGGATAGGTTGAATATGAGCAATGGTACAGTTGATGAATTTGGCTATTTTTGTTTTTATTTAATCTTCTCTCTCCCCACCCCCTTCTTCTTTGGCAAATTCTGAAAATAACTGGAAAACCTCACCAATTTGCGGGGGAGGGAGGATTCCAAATGCACAAAAACATCCCATTTTCAGTGAAAAGGATACAAATAAATAACCTATATGCAACTCCTTTAGTGGTAGATGTAACAGCAATAATTAATTATGTATTTCAGGCATATAGTTTCCCTAGTTTATTTTGATATGTACGTTCATCTAGTTTTACTGACCAATCGGAAGACGACATCTGCATGTGTGTATTGAAGCGTTTGCTGTTCCCTAGACATTATGATTCCCACTTGGGGAGCCCATCAGCCTGCACTACAAATTCATTAGGCTTGAACGCTATCCTCTTGAGACTCCAGACTAGTATATTTGGCATACTTTTAAACAAGTGAAAGGAAAGCAGAAATAATAATGAGCTAGAGGAATAACTTTTAGCCAAGAGATTATGAAGGTTAATCCAATCAGTGGAGGTCATGGAGAAAACCCCTTGAGAATTGTATCTATCTGAATAGAGGGGAGATTTTATTTCTCCATCTGTGACACGATTCTGGAGGGTTTCCTCCCACACACACACACTTACACTGAATATTGTCTAGCTTTGTGGAAAGCCAGTAGTTGCTAGGAATCAGTGTGTATAACAGCTAGTTAAACTGTTGTACGAGGGACTGGGAGGCCTGGGTTCAAATCTCCACTCAGCCATGGAGCTCACTGAATGACCTTGGGACAGTCACTGTCTCTCGGTGTAATGTATCCTCTCGGAGGATAAAATATGGGAAAATGAGGGGGAGCTAGGTAAGTCATTTTGAGCTATTTGGAGTAAAGGTAGGATATAAACACAGATAAATAGATAAACCTAACCACACACACACACACAAACCCAGACTCTGACCCCCATAAAAAGGACCCCTGACCACTAGGTCCAGTTGTGACCGATTCTGGGGTTGCGGCGCTCATCTCGCTTTATTGGCCGAGGAAGCCGCCGTACAGCTTCCGGGTCATGTGGCCAGCATGACTAAGCCACTTCTGGTGAACCAGAGCAGCACATGGAAACGTCGTTTACCTTCCCGCTGGAGCGGTACCTATTTATCTACTTGCACTTTGACGTGCTTTCGAACTGCTAGGTTGGCAGGAGCTGGGACCAAGCCACGGGAGCTCACCCTGTCATGGGGATTAGAACCATCGACCTTCTGATTGGCAAGACCTAGGCTCTGTGGTTGAACCCACAGTGCCACCCGCGTCACCTGACCCCCATATCTTTGGATAAATCGATGGAGAGGCATGCTAAAAGAGAACAGGCCTCAGATGTTCTCTCTGTGTATTTAACCATGGTTTATAAACTTAGAACACATGTCATGCCCATTTGTTCCTTTCATCTCTTCTGCACATGAGGCTATGGTTTTCGTACTGTGTTTTGTTCAAACCATGGTTTCCCATCCCATCTAAGCTGTTTAGAACAAGAAAATGCCATGCCATGCAATGAGCGCTCCTCCCTTCAGACTGGAAGAATTTATTCATAGCTCTCTGTATAAATGTGGAACACTCACTTGATCCTTCTGTGATACTGCTGATTATGGAACTCCCACCAGCCGAACCACATCTCTTGCTGTTTTGGAATTGTTTCCTTCGTCTGGCCCAACGATCTACTGCTTCTTCATGGGAACTGCTGGCGTCATTTGATGCTTGCTCATTAGACAGTATTTTGCCCGTGTCTTCCAACGCAGCAGCTACATAATTGCATAATTTTCAGGAGGGGAAAAAAGCAAAGTGTATTTACTATTAAATACATGTTACAAGCCATGCTCCCTTTTCTCCATCAGGATAAAACTGCAAGCCTACTCTTATTTATTTGCAAGTAAATTATGTTGAAATGAGAGATTTACTTCCGTATACTTTCACAGTATTCAGAAGTATTCAGAACAAGGGTCAGCAACCTTTTTCAGCCGTGGGCCAGTCCACCGTCCCTCAGACTATGTGATGGGCCGGACTATATTTTGAAAAAAATAATGAACGAATTCCTATGCCCCACAAATAACCAAGAGATGCACTTTAAATAAAAGCACACATTCTACTCATGTAAAAACATGCTGATTCCTGGACTGTCCGCGGGTCGGACTGAGAAGGTGATTGGGCTGCATCTGGCCCCCAGGCCTTAGTTTGCCTACCCATGATTCAGAAGAACCTCCAGCGCAGTACATGGGAGGAGGGGAAGGGAAATAGTTCGGTCAGACAAGCTGGAATGCGTTCACAGGTGAAACAATTGGAAGAGTGTGGCATTGAAGTCCATCCACAGTGTTGAGTAGATTAATTGGTAAAATTTCTCAGTTCAAAACCTTCAAGAGATTCCAATTGATTTCAGGGAAGATTATTTTAAAAACTGAATATTCAAAATACAAACACTTGTAAAAGATCAGCAGATAAAAATCCCCATGCCTACTGTGACACATGCATTCAATCCTAATGAAGTGTATTTTTAAAAATACAGGATCTCAAAGCAGCTGCCTTATTACAAAAGAATTTCAGAAATAGACTTGAAAGAGAAGTTGCTGAATTGCAACTTATTACTAAACTGAAAACTATGGAGAGACCTGGTCTGAATAGAGATACAGTGGTACCTCTGGTTGTGGACGGGATCCATTCTGGAGCTCCGGCTGGATCCCAAGGTTTTCGCAACTGGAGGTGCCTGTTCTGTGCACGCGCATGTGGCAAAACCCGGAAAAATACTTCCAGGTTTGCTGCATGCGTATCCCGAAGGATACGTAACCAGAGATGCTCGTAAGCAGAGGTACCAATGTATTGGATTGTTGTCTAATTACATATGCTATTTTTGGTCATCTGCATACTATCCCTTGCTTTTTCATGTAGGAATAATTGCAGTCGTTAACAGGCGTCAACAGGTTTACCATACCCATTGACTCAATCACCCATCTCCTACTACCCTTTTGAGAAAAACCCCACCCCACCCTCCCACTATATATAAGGGTCTGGTGACTTCTGTTTCAGTGTATCTGAAGAAGTGTGCATGCATATGAAAGGTTATAACCAGAACAAACTTAGCTGGTCTCTAAGGTGCTACTGGATAATTTTTAAATTTATTTTAAAAAAGTTATTTTCTCTAGTGTGCAAATTTAACACTATATTTAACCAATTAATCACAACTAAAACACATATATTTATCAACTAAGATTTCTTTCATTGGGTGATAGCCTCAGAAATAGTTACTAGCCTTTGATTATTTAGGCTGCAATCCTATATACACAAATCACTTATCTGGGAGTAAGCAGAACTGAACTCAGTGGGGATTTCTTCTGATATATGGTTAGGACTGCACTGTGTGTGCCTGTAAAATATGTAAGCGGGCAAGTGTGTAAATCTATGTTTAACACAGATAGAGCCACCTGAATGCATATTACCCAATCTATATTCAAATATAAGTGTAAAATTTTGCATTCAACTAAGTTTAACACAGGATAGAACCATTAAAATAAATAAACATAAGTTAGCAGTGTCCATTATTTTTAATGGGTGTATACTGAATAGGACTAGCATTGGATGCATCCCTTTATTTTGATTTTGCTTAAAGCAGGCTTCCTCAACCTCCAGATGTTTTGAGACTAAAATTCCCACCATCCCTGACCACTGGTCCTGCTAGCTAGGGATCATGGGAGTTGTAGACCAAAAACATCTGGAGGGCCGAGGTTGAGGAAGCCTGGCTTAGAGTACTGAAACAACACATTGATTTAATATTGTTCATTCACACAGCTCAGTCTATAAGATGCCTGGTCTGGTGGGAGCCTCACTCCAGTAAACAAGTGTTTTTGCAGGCATCCGTGCTTTGGACTAAAGTCCAAAGTTATAAAAGCAAATGGCTTTGCAACAGAGTTTTACGTTGGGATCATAGCTGTCAACTTTTCCCTTTTCTTGTGAGGAATCCTATTCGGAATAAGGGACTTTCACTTTAAAAAAGGGAAAAGTTGACAGCTGTGGTTGGGATCCAGAGTGCAAATGGAGATCTTGATCTCTTTAAAGAAAGTGGGACGACTTTATGTTTGCAAAACCCAAGGAAAGTAGCCATTGCTTCTTCTTTCTCAAGAAACAATGGGCGCTTCTATGAACAAATGTTCAAGATAGGTTTTTCTCCCCTTTGGTTTCATTGAGTGATTTCCATTTTTTAAAAAAAATACCGCCTCTAGCTTCCTCCTTTGAAATGATGTTTGGTATCTCTTTTTTTGTTGCAGGGGCAGGTTGCAACGACAGAAGTAAAAGGTAAAGGGTAAAGGGACCCCTGACCATTAGGTCCAGTCGTGACCGACTCTGGCGTTGTGGCACTCATCTTGCTTTACTGGCCGAGGGAGCTGGCATACAGCTTCTGGGTCATGTGGCCAGCATGACTAAGCTGCTTCTGATAAACCAGAGCAGCGCACGCAAATGCCGTTTACCTTCCCGCCAGAGCGATACCTATTTATCTACTTGCACTTTGACGTGCTTTCGAACTGCTAGGTTGGCAGGAGCAGGGATCAAACAACGGGAGCTCACCCCGTCATGGGGATTCGAACCATCGACCTTCTGATCGGCAAGCCCTAGGCTCTGTGGTTTAGACCACAGAGCCACCAATTTGCTGCAGTGTCCACCGGGAGGTGTAATCATATTGCAGGGAACTCGCTTTCATAACATTGGTTTAAACCCAGCCTTTCCCAGCCTGGTGGGATGTTTTTGCTACAACTTCCATCTGTTTAGGCAGCACACTGGTGGGAGTACTAGTTCAAAACACATAGAATCATAGAATTGTCTTGGAAGGAACCCTGAGGATCATCCAGTCCAACCCCCTGCAATGCAGGAATATGGAGATCGAACCTGCAACCTGGGCATTATCAGCACCATGCTCTAACCAATTGACCTAGTAATACACAGAAAATCAACTACGCAGGTTTTAAAGCACAAGAAAAAGAAATATTAAAGTGACAACAGTTTGCGGCGAGGAGAGGAAAACCAAGTTGCCCTTTAATAATTTAGAAATTATTCACTTTGCTGCTTCTTTAACAGGGGTGGGAGCGGAGCTTTGAGATACAGTTTTCTTCCCAGTATACACTTTCCAGAAACTAAAAACTTCCTTTCCTCCGCACAGGGAATATTTGGTTGCCTCTTTGTTTATATCCATCTCTTTTAAGCTGCCTTTGCAGCATCCTGTCCAGGAGCAGGGTTTGTAAAGCCAGTCATGTGCCCTTTAGATTATTGCTTCTTCTTCTTTATTTATGCCTTAAAATGTTCTTATAAATTAAGGCAGCAACGATATATGCATCAGGAATCACAGCATGATAAGGGGAACAACTAAGTATAAAGAATGATGAAATATCTAAAATTTGACATAGGTTATGAAACTATTCTCTCCCCCCCTTTTTTTTTACCTTGCCATCTTTCAAGTTTCAAAATAAGCTTGACACACATCTGGAGGATAGTAAGCTGACTTGCACCAGATATAAATAACGATTTGGCCTGCTATGACGCATGGATTTAAGGCCATCTGAAGGAAGCACTACTTGTTTGTCTGAACTGGCCTTGAGGAAATCGCAGTGTTTGGAATAAGTGCCAGGGGCCTTCCAGACTGTTGCTATTTTTGCAGGTAGGATTCAACGGCACACTGGCCAATACACAATCCAAATAGATTTTATGTTTTTGTGCAACAAAGCCATTTAAAAACGAAAACCTAACTTTTCATGGTCAATGATGGGGGAATGCAATGGAAAGTATTGGATAACAATTGCTTGATGTAACATCAAATGGTTTCAGCTGTATGTTGCAGTGAATTCTGGGAAGTCTTTCAGGTGCACCCTCATTTTCTACAGATGCTGTCTAGGCCTAGACTCAGCCAGTGACCCCACGCAGTTCCATGTTTTAAGGAAAGATGGGCAACTCTGTTTTAGGTAAGTTGCCTGACATTATTGGCTTGCTAACTTGGGAACCCCATTGGACACAATTTGAAAACAACTGGATTAGAGAAAGAAATACCCTATTGAAGGATCATGTTTCATTTTACAAACCTTACTAGCATTCCCAAGTCCAGCTCTATTTTGCTAATATGCGACATTTTGAGTTTAAAGCATACTAGTATTAATTCTACTTAGAACAACTGAGGCTTACTTTCAGAAGGCACTGGGTCAAGGAAGGTATCTGCACAAACAGTAAGATGAGGCAGCAAAAATATGTGTCCTTCAAGCAGGAGTAAAACTTGCAAGTTGTGTCTAGACTGCTCCTCCATTGGAGCTAAGAAGGGGATCCCTTTATGATTAAAAAAGCTGACTAGTTCTCAGAAGGACATTTCATTGCAACCCTTTGCCTTGATGCATAAAGTAAGAACAAAGTATTGTTTCCAAGGAATCTGGAAGTACTTACCTGTCTGGTTGTTTGGGGGCAAAGTGTCTGGGCTCTGGCCCAAATCCGTCTTTATTTCACTTTGTACCTCTGGTTTTTCACAACTAGGTTTGAGTAACTCCTGCACTTGATCTGTTACTAAATGTTTTCCAGAAAGATCAGATGAACATATATCTTGTTTGCTGGAAAGCATCTCGGGTGCTTCAGTATCAGCCAAAACCTGCTCATCTTCTAAAGAGCAAGATACAGCATCAGCCTGGGCAGAAGCATCTTGGCAATCTTCATGCATGTCTTCAGGCATCTCCTCAACTTCTGCAAAGCTCTGGGATTCATTATCAAAATCTGGTTCCTCAGCATCCAACAGAGGTGACATAAATGCTTCCCTTATGCTGCAGGGCAATAAGGGCTCCTTTTTTATTGCCAAGTCAAAAGATTCTGCCACAGACTTTCTGTCACCTTGAATGATAAGTCTGCGTTCTAATTCTCCAGTTATTACAGTCATCACTGATCTTCTCCGTTTCATCGTTATATCAGACTCTGCAATACTCAGCTGATGATTTCCACTGGGCTGTTCTGCAGAGAATTGGCCTTGGATGCTTTCTGTATCAGCAATGTTATTGTCATCTTTATAGTCACTAGACTGGTTTCCAGAATGCAAGGAAACTTGATTTAATAATTCTTCATTCTGTACTTCTATGTATGCTTGGACTTTGTAATGATCACTGCTTAGAACCTCATAATCATTTCCACCATTTGCGAGTTCAGTGTATTCCTCAGATACATCTAGTGTTCTCAGAGGCTCAATGGGTCCACATTCTTCCTTATGTTCTTCATTGGAATTGGAATTGGCAATGGAATGAAAATCCTCTCCAGCCGCCCAATCCATTTCTCTACAGTCCTCTATGTATTCTAAAGAGTGATCCATGAAAAAAGCATTGCCTAGGTTTTCTTCCAGCTCAGCATGGTACACAGTCATTTCATGGTCATACGAGGTGAAGGAATAGTAGCATTTAAGATCTCTGAGATTACCGAACAATGATGCAAAACTTGAGGAAAGTTCTGTACAGCTGGTAGGCGTATGGGCATTCTTGCTGTAAGGGTTCAATGCTTTGCTTGGCTTGGGTAGCACTTTTAAGGATAAAGATGGCATTGAATAGAAACCAGAATCTCTTCTAGGGTGAAATGATGACAATATATCAACAGGGGTGGCTGGGAAAGAATTGCTTCTTGTGTTTTTTGATTCCATATGTGAAACACGCATAATATTCCTTGTGTCTATTAGACTGCTGTTCCTTACTTGGTGAGCATCACTCATCTCATCATTAGGTTTCTTTCCAGGATATATTTCTCTGGAACTGCAGTCTTCTAGAGGAGATTCTCCAGTATAGCTAAATTCTGAAAAAACAATTTCTTTATAGAAATCTTTTCCATTGGCACACTCCTTCCTTCTGTCACCTTTCTCTTGACAGAGATCACTTCCTTCTCCATAATTTAAGGCAGCTGAGAAAGTATCTGACATGTTCATGTCACCTGATGGACTTAAGGATACAACTTCAGTGGCACTATCTAAGCAGATTTCCTCAGAGTCAGCAAACTCAGCTGGTGGAGGTATCGGGGCATACCACTCTGGACCCATGTAACTTGGGAATGATTCCTCCTTCTCCTGAAAGCTAAAATCTGACTCAAAATCTGAATAGGATTCCTCGGTCGTAGAATAATCCGTATCACTGGACATGTTTCCATATTTTGAGCTCCTAGCCGGGCCACATTTCCTTGCTTCAACACCAGGCTCGACACTAACCCTTAGTTTCTGCTTCCTATTGATATATTGCACCTTGATTTCCTTCCCTACAATGCTAATTGACATGGATGGATTTGGGTTACTGGCCATTTGGATCTTGCATTTAGATGGTGTCTCATATTTTCCAGAGAGATTGCTGGATGGTCTTCGCTCCTTGTGCTGCTTACAACAGCGGCTTTTATGATAACACCTATTCTTAGGACATTTCCATTTTCCAGATGCGGAGTCTGTTCCAGGAAGTGAATCTTTCTTCACTTCCACTTTCATATTAAAGGAACCACATTTCACTTCTGCAATAAGTACATTCTCCGACTGAGGAGAACGCACACTGTCAGAGTTGCATTCCAGTGTGATGTTTCCTGTTGAGGTTTCTGATTCATCAACACTTATCACTGCTAAGACTTCATCTTGCTGAGTAGAAAAAGCCAGCAAAGGACAATCTTTTTCTTGTTTTCCTTCTTTCGCACTGTCAGATATGTTTTCTTCTTCTCTATTTTCAAGAGCACCCTCATTGTTCTTTCTCCCATTCTCTAGTGTGCAAGAATGATTGCTTCTATTTTTGTCTGACTGTCCCATGTCCTCAGCTCCATGATTATTAGCTTCTGCTGGGAGCTCATTTCCTCTGCCTTCAACACCTTCAGTGTTTTGCTGGCATCTGCAGATGACTGGCATATGTTCGTCTGAAGAGTGAAAAGTAAAGGAAGAAGAACATTACTATTTTTAAAGAACACCTGGAAGTCTAGGCTGGGTTGGGTGGTTGTTGTTGTTTTTTTTTGGAGAGCCAGAATCATCTGCACTATACGTTTAAACCAGTATCATATCACTTTAAACAGCCCCCCCCAAAGAATCCTGGGAGCTGTAGTTTGTTATGGTTTCTGAGAGTTGTTAGGAGATCCCTATTCCTCTCACACAGCTATAGTTCTAAGACTGGTGTAACAGTCAATCCTCTTCCCGGTAACTCTGGGAGGAGACTAGGGTTCTCTTAATGACTCTCAGCAGCCATGGCCAACAGCAATTCTCAGGATTCTTTGGGGAAAGACATGGTGGTTTAAAGTGGTATGGTACTGGTTTAAATGTATAGTGCAGATGGAGCCACAGTTGGAATGAGGATACATTGCTCATAGTCACCTGATTTGTACAACGTGGAAAACCAAACTTTCATTTACCAGGACCACACAAATGTGCTGGCTCTTGGAGAAGAGTTTACACCTGCTTTGCTCTTCCTCAGCCCTTGCGGAGGAGAGTGCTTTAACCACAAGCCAAAATTCAGACGGCACACAAAACCAAACCTTGGCTTATTTGCCATGCTGAGCTAAAAGGTTCAGGTTTGGAGCAAACCAGCTGTAATCCGCTCCTTGGGAGCTTGTTACACTTGAGCGTGACCACTGTATATGCGGATTACATTTGGTGGTAAAGCTGGTTTGTAGGTTTTTGTGTTGTTTCAAACAGTCTGGAAGCTCTAATTCGACCTGAGATGCAAGGCAGCCTTTCTCAACCTGTGGGTCCCCAGATGTTGTTGAACTACAACTCCCATCACCCCTAGCTAGCAAGGCCAGAGCTCAGGGATGATGGGAGTTGTAGTCCAACAACATCTGGGGACCCACAGGTTGAGAACCACTGTGCTAGAGAGTCCATCATCATCAATGTGTTGGGCAAAACTTGGAAAATAACAACTCTCTCAAACCACTTTTGATTGTCTCGAAAACATCGCCTGTCTCCATCATTATTGCGAGCTTCCACAAACTCTACTAATCTTACAAAAGGTTATTTTTGGAAGCGGTGCATGCATTCATAATTGCTGACTTGCAATATGCCAAACTGTTGATTTCTCCGCATCTCCCCCCACCACCCCCACGCTCAACAGTACACCACACTTATATGGTACATACTTATTATGCTCAGCTTCTCCCACAGTTCACAAGAAGCCATCATTTGTCATACTTGGCAGCAGCTGCGTTTCCCTTGGCCCCTACACCCTGCCTGTATGAATTCATCAATAGCAACTAAGTTGTCATTACTACGCTCCGTCATAATATTCCACATCCAGAATAAATGAATTGTTATAGATCTACCAATACTAGTCAGCTGGAAAGCATGATGACTTCTCTCTCGGGTCCCTTCAATGGGTGGTCGCCTTTCCTTTTGGCAGGAAGCCGAACAATCAGTGTAATTGACCTAGCTCCACTGCAAAGGGCATGAAAAACTCTCTTTTGGTGTCCTAGTTGTGTGAGAGCCTGGATTGCATAGAGGAAATTGACTGGCATCTTGCCCTCCATTTAGGCCATGTGGTTCATCACAAGGGGTGATAAATATCACCACCACCACCACCACCACCACCACCATCATCATCAGCCCACCTATCTGCTTGGGTTGTTCCAGCCACTCTGGGTGGCTTCCAATATAATATAAAAACATAACTAAACATCAAGCATTAAAAACTTGTGTGTGCTTACATAAATCCTATAAACTCTCCATGTAAACAATCAAGAGCAAGCATATAGCATAGAAACTGCACAGTGGTGTATCTGAGGACATGAAATATTCAGTGGTGACTGAACTAACTGAGAATTTGGACACTGAACTGAGCAGAGTCTGCATTTCACCTATTAAGCATAAAGTGAAAGAGTTAAAAACAGCCTTTTGAAAAGTGCATATCCTGAAACAAACTGTAATCCCACAGGGCTGAAACCTCATCTCATAAACCTACTGCTCCCATTTATAATTTTTTTCAGAGGAGGAGGAGTTTGGATTTGATATCCCGCTTTATCACTACCCAAAGGAGTCTCAAAGCGGCTTACATTCTCCTTTCCCTTCCTCCCCTACAACAAACACTCTGTGAGGTGAGTGGGGCTGAGAGACTTCAGAGAAGTGTGAGTAGCCCAAGGTCACCCAGCAGCTGCATGTGAAGGAGCAGGGACGTGAATCTGGTTCACCAGATTACGAGACTACTGCTCTTATTAGCATATGGAACACATCAGTAATTCCAGCAGAAAATAGCTTTATGACGCTGCACCATATTGATTTCCATTATTTATCTTTGGGATGCATCCCATCCCACTGAGCACAGGCCACATTTTTGGCAACTGCAGCTTGCAAGGGAAGGAGTTTTCAAGTATCACCAACCCAGTCCCTATTATCAGGTAAACCATTGTTGCAAACTTACTTTCCCTGGTATCTGAGCTTTTCCTGCTCTTGTAGCTTCTCCTCCTTTTCCTGCTCATGTTGGAGGCCTGAATGTTCTCAGTGCTCTTCTGCTCTGCAATGGGATAGGGAGATAATCATTAGAAAGTATTCATTTTCAGGTTTGCACTCCTCTTTAATTTGTCTCCTTTTCCAGGTCAATATCCACAGATAAGTTCAGAACTAGACAAGAAGCCCAAGCTGACAGTATGTTGAATGGCTTTACCTATCATCTGATACAGCACCAATGCCCTTGCAATATTGGCAAAATGCAGTACAGTGGTACCTTGGGTTACAAACTTAATCCTTTCCGGAGGTCCGTTCTTAAACCAAAGCATTCTTAAACCGAGGTTCACGCTTTCCCTAATGAGGCCTCCCACCACCGGTGTTTGTCTTCCGTTCGTCTTCTGGGGCAAAGTTCACTAACTGGAACACCTACTTCTGGTTTTGCGGAGTTCGTTGTCCGAAGCGTTCGTTAACAGGGCTGTTCGTAGACCGAGGTACCACTGTAATTGGCTGGTTCTCATTGGAACTGGTGGAGTGGATAGAAGGGAGACCAACAGCGGGTGGAGCCAGAACCAATGATAGGCAGAGCTACTTAGAAACATAGAATTGTAGAGTTGGAAGAGACCACAAGAGTCATCTAGTCCAACCCCCTGCAATGCAGGGATCTTTTGGCCAAGGTGGGGCATGAACCCACAACCCTGAGATTAAGAGTATTACATTCTACCGACTGAGCTATCCAGCTGCTCTTAATTCTAGTTTTGTTCCCATCCTTGTCTCCACTGAGTTGTACACAGACATCTAAGTCAATGAGCTACCAGCCAATGCTACCCCCTCGGACTGGTTGCAGGCAACAAGGCAGGCAGCTGGGGCTTGCTGAGGCCAGATTGAGGGGCAATGCTCTATTCACTGGCAAAATTTCATATTTTTGAATGTTATGTTGTTCCGATTCAGTTTTTCCAAAGCACTATTTGAAGGCTCAGGAAGTATTAGGAATGGCCAGCAAGTTATTCACATCCCCCTGATCAGATAGATACTGTATATCTTGACAAACCAGGTTGAATCCAAACTAAGTCATACTTGGTTCCACCTGAAACCAATGGGACCAGTTAGCCATGAATTCTGCTCAACTAATTTAGTCTGGCTCCTGATTGAACCAGTAGGTTGAAATAGTAGATTTGTTCCATTATTCCACATTCCAGAAGTTCAACACTGCTTTGCTAGATGGATCAATGGTCTGGCCCTCTATAAGGTAGCTTCCGATGTTCCTGAATCCCCTCTCAGCCATGAAGCACACTGGGTGTCCTTGGACCAGTCACAGCCTAACCTACCTCAAAGGTTGTCATAGAATCATGGAATTATAGAGTTGGAAGGGACCCTGAGGATCATCTTCTCCAACCTCCTGCAATGCAGGGATATACAGCAGTCCCATATGGGTATTGAATTTGCAACCTTGACATTATCAGCACCACGCTCTAACCAACTGAGCTATTGTCATGAGGATAAAATTGGGGGGTGAGAACATATGTTGCCTTGAGCTTGTTAGGAGGAAAAGTGGGATAGAATAAATGAATTAAATAACACGACTTCACTAGGTTTCCCCACAATGGGGTGCTTGGTTGAGCTGGAGCACCCAACACTTGACCACTGCCTTGTCAATCACTTTAGGTGGGGGAGAAACTGTAGTCCCTGAATATTATGTTTGACACTTTTTATTTTTAAAAAAGACAGTAGCAATCATGAAACAGGCATCCACTGCCTAATTTAAGAAGTGTTATTCTCTAAAAACAAAAAACATCCCTTCTAATCCCACAGGTAATTCTAGCAGGGCTCTCCCTGTTTAACCTCTCTGTTTGGCAAAGTGCTGAATATAGTGATTTAATTACTGATTAAAATCATACAGAGCTTAGGAGCTTGCCAGGTGCCACTGTGGGCACTGAATGAAATGATGATGAGTTTCATCAAGTGGCAGTGCAATTTTAAAGTCCAAGGCAGGGGAGACATTAATTGACGGTACTGCAAGAGTAAAATATTTTATAATGTCAGATTATAAATATAAAAAGCTGCTACGGAACTCAAGATATCCGTTTTTTTGAAGGGTGTTGATAGGAAGTTTTTAGCTCTGTCACTTGTGTTGACATGGTACTTAGAAAAATCTCTATTTTTTAAAAATGGAACACTTTAATTGTCAGATGATGAAAAGATAGACTGCGTGAGTTTCCCCTCCACCCTTAACTCTTAACAGCAGAATATAGCAATATATACCTTTTTGAAAGTACAGCCATCTTAAAAGGATCAACTTAAAATGGGCGCTTTCAAAGCTCTGTACAAGTAACAGTGTGATTCATCATTCTTATGGATGGAAGAGTCACACTGATACTTTAAGCAATTTCCCCCTTAAAGAATGTCTCTAACATCTCCACTTTGGGAATAACTTTTTAATGGGCTGCACAATATCCCCCAAAAAGGTTGCCTAAACAAATCTGATAGAGGCAGAAATGGACTTAATCAAAACCAGGTGGATGATATTTATCTATGAATTTTTCTAGGTCCGAACAATCTTGGTTTGAATGTTTGGATGCTACCCAAAAGGTTAAGCAAACCCAGAACAAAGTGAATTTTGCAACATCTCCTTGGCACTTTCAATTCACATTAAAGGGAATGTTCATGTATGTAGGGAAACATCTCTCTCATAAGACGAGAATGCAGGGTCATCCAATGAAGCCAAATGATAAGAAAACATATGAGGTGCATGAACCTATTTCTATTTATTTGTTTCATGGGTTTCTTCTGCTTCCCTCTTCTGTAGCAAGGAGACGATCAGTACAGTATATAAAGATATAGCAGGAAGAGGAAGAAATCATTCCAGAAAGCTTATTACATCTTACAGATGTGTTGGCTGTAATCGTGGTAGATTCTGTTGGAATTTATTAATGTTCGTTTATCACACTCCACAAGTCCATGTGAAGATCAATGTCCATAGACCATCTGCATCCAGCTCTCCTAAAAAATAATTTAACCTGGCTTCTTACAGACCTCACAGAGAAGCCCAAACTTCAGACACCCTTCTTTTTGCCCCTGCATAAAACAGATGATCCTTTAAGAAGCAGATACAGGTAGGTAGCCGTGTTGGTCTGCCGTAGTCAAAACAAAATAAAAAAATTCCTTCCAGTAGCACCTTAGAGACCAACTAAGTTAGTTATTGGTATGAGCTTTCATGTGCATGCATACTTCTTCAGATACATTGAAACAGAAGTCACCAGACTCTTATATATAGTGAGAAGGTGGGGACGGGTATTACTCAGAAGGGTGTTGGGAATGGGTGATTGGCTGATAGGTGTGGTAAACCAGTTGACGACTGTTAACAACTGCAATTGGAAAAAACAGGAAAAAGCAAGGGATGAGATGGCCAAAAATAGCTTTATCATGTATAATGAGATAAGAATCCAATGACTCTATTCAGACCAGGTCTCTCCATGGTTTTAAGTTTGGTAGTAAGTTGTAATTCAGCAACTTCTCTTTCCAGTCTATTTCTGAAATTCTTTTGTAATATGACAACTACTTTGAGATCTTGTATAGAATGTCCTGGAACACTATATTGAAGTGTTCTCCTACTGGTTTCTCTGTCTTGTGATTCCTGATGCCAGATTTATGTCCATTTATCCTTTGGCATAGGGTTTGGCCTGTTTGTCCAATACAGAGAGCTGAAGGGCACTGTTGGCATTTGATGGCATACACAATGTTAGAAGATGAGCAATTAAATACTCCTGAGATGGTATGTCTGATGTTGTTGGGGCCAGTAATGGTGTTGTCCGAGTGTATGTGGCAGCAAAGTTGGCATCTGGGTTTACTGCTTTAAGAAGCAGTTTGTGTTCTTCCAATCTGGCATTAATTTAGTGAAATCAGGTAGAATGCCTTGAGTTTTTTAAATCAAGATTTCTTGAGTTGAAAGAGTGTTAACCTTAAAAGCCTGGCAATTGGCTGCGTGAGCTCGCTAGAAGCTCCATGCAATGGTATGATAGGAACATTCTTGTTAAAATACTGGCGAATAGTCTCACAGTGGCATTGTTCCCAGCGGACAATGCACCCAATCCTGACACACATCTTATGCAGCCTTCTAAGGAACTGCACCGGATGTCTTCAGTTGTTTTCCTTCCCCGCCACCTGCCACACTGCAGGTTTCTCTTCAAGAGGTACGTTGAGTCTAATGGGAATGACACTGATCCAACAATCCTCAGACATATGAATGGCCCCATTGACTTCCATAAGGATTACATGAATGAATGAGGATTGCAAGATCAAGTCCTTATCAAGCTCCTAAACTTAGAAAGTACTTAACACCCTACTTTCCTCGTCTCAAAGATGGCACTGCTGCTCAGCCATTTACAAGATTAGACTCATGCCATATGGAAATAGTGTTCATGTCACAAGGTTATTCCCAAACAAGTAGCAGCATTCTGGCTGGATGCAGAATAAACAGTTAAGTAACAAAGAAGTTACTAATATTTGCCCACCAAATCATTCACATTTTTTCTTATGGCACCTATCATTATGTGCAATACCTGCTCTAGCATGAAACCTTGTTTTATTTATAAGCTGCTAGCTTCTAAACTGCTTATTTCTGAAAAACAAGGAGAGAAATGACTTTATAATGAGGAGCATTGGCTGGAAAGAGAAGACAAACAAAATCAAGAAGAGGGCCAAAATGACAAAAAAGGGGGGGGGGGAAAGGAGTGGAATTTTATAAAATTATTTATAAAATAATGTGATTACTTTTCTCCTGTGATGAAAAGTTTGGTTAAAACAGCGCATTTCCAAAATATGACCTTTATAGTCATAAAACATTCATAGTATCTCAGCCATAGTATCAAAATCTGCAGTTTGTTAGACAGCTCAGTTGGTCCAGCACGAGACTTTTAATCTTCGGCTCGTAGGTCTGAGCCCCACCTTACACAAAAAATTCCTGCATTGCAGGGGGTTGGACTAGATTGTACTTGTGGTCCCTTCCAACTCTACAATCCCATGACTCTGTGCAATAAAGCATTTTTCTTTCACTAAAAAAACCCCAAGTGCGACCATAGCATCATAGAATGCACAAAGCATATATCCCTTCAAAATGATCGAGTTTTACCACTCTGGTCTTTTACACCTTCCACTTTTTAACAGCTCTTCCTTTCCACTGGTTTATTCATCTCTTTCAGACTTTGCATTTTGCAGTTTCCTCCACAATACATAAACCAATACTAGGCAACAGACCAACGCTTGCACCACAGGCAGAGAACTTCCTTCTTGTTTGCTTGTATTGCTTCTTGAAAATCTCTGTTATTATTCATGCCCCTCTGGAGGCATGAATAATAACAAAGTGTTGTGAATGTCTCAAACTTTCATTCATCAAGCTTTCCAATTCTCCAGTGATAGATAATTATTTTTGTCAGCAAAATGAAAATCTGGATCCGAGAAAAATTATTTGAACTTGGTCCTGTGTACTCTTCCCCCAACAAGGGCAAGCAACAAGGTTGGTGGAATATGATTTTCCATTGAGAAATGGCAGCGCGGAGAAGGGATAACATCACTTTCCAAGTTTCCAATCTAGATTTTTTAATTTTAATTTAAAAAAAAATGCAGCCATGGAAGAACCCAGACCCCAGAAGTTCCAATCAAGAAACTTCTACTTCATGTCTCGATTGACTCAGAACTCATCATTGAGATTAAATTTAAACACAGATTCAAACCACGGATTCCTCCGATAGATTCCTATGAGAAACCCTAATTATCTTGGCCAGAACTTTCTTACTATCTTTGCATTGACTATCAATCCAGCCCAGGTGTGTTGGTTGTATGTAGTTATTAATTGAAAAACTTACCAAATAGAGCCTCAGAAGACATCAAAACTAGTACTCTAATTAACTGGAGTTGAAAATGATTATCAGTATTGATATTCACTTCAGTTTTGATTCATTTTCTGAACACAGTATGAAGACTCTTTAATTTTAGACAAAAATCATAATTTTGCTCTCTAGTTTCCTGGCATCTGTCTGTCTCAGGAGACAATGGAACAGTGTGTCTTCAGGGATAAATCAAAACTGTTGTAGAATTACAGCGCTGTGGCTGTAGAGACCAATGTAGGAGATACGTACCATGATGTATTGCTTTTGCATTCATATTAGAGGTGCAGAGCCATGTGATGTGTGTGTTTTCTGGAAAATTTTGAATTGCAAAATTTTCCAATGCAGTTTAATTTGTATCCAAGCTTTTTCTGATGTGCTGAAGAGTGCTCCAATTTAGCATTTTTATTTTACCTGTATTTAGTATAGAAAGCTAGAAACTTTTAAACTGCTAAGAGTGACTAATATTGGACTTGCAATTGATACCTATAGATTCATTAAAAAACTTATGAAATGGAAATTTTTATGTGGAAAAATAAAGCACTGGAAAATTTCCCACTTCACACTGTGGTATAGAATGTGTGTGTGTGTGTGTGTGTGTAAATCTTAGAATTATGAATTGCCCTCAAAGGCAGCAGAAAACAATTGAAAGCTAATATACAGATAACTATTTTTTTTTTCAGAGGTGGAGTTGCATATTCCTAAATTACCAGATATCACCCAAAGCAAAATTTGAAGTGAATTTGGGATCCCACTATAGCAAATCATCTTAAAAAGTATGATGTACCTTTTGATAAGACTAGCAAGATGTTCAGAGGATTTACTTAAAAGTATATTCTGATATAGTCAAATTACACACTTGATGAAGTAAGCAACGATCCCAAGTACACTTATTCACAGAAGTAAACAGCATTGTATTTAATAAGATCTGCAGCAAAGAAACTGGGTTAGGCTTGAACTTGCTGAGTAAAAAAAAATAGTAATTTAAAAAAACACACTTAAAAACCTAGAACTAATTTTAACAGTACAATCCTATGCAGTTCTACCCAGAAATAAATTGGACTGAATTCAATTGGACTTACTTCAATGCAAATGTGCTACTTTAGAATTGAAAGTTATTTGTTCAAAAGCAATTTTCTTCATGGCTAAGAGGAGCTGATTTTCTCATCGTGGAAAATTAGACAAATGTTTGCATTTCATAGGAGCAAACATGGTGAATTAACAGAATTATATTGTTGCATCAGATCTGGCTGACATTTGGCTAGTGATACACAAAGAGAAATACTTACAGAGACTAGGAGCTAAATATTTTCCTTAGATATGATTCCCATTTGTTAAAGCAGGCAGCAGAGATGCAAAGCAAATACTCTACCGCCAAGTTATGATTCAGTTGTTGCATTAAGAAGGTCACTATGTGGATCTACTAGGAAACTTATTGGGGTTTATTATTCAACCCCCTTTCCCCCACTGTCTCTTCTCTTCTCCTTTTCCTTATTCCTTTTTTTTTTTTTACTGTAAAACTTGGGTCAGTAATAACAGCACAAGTGAATTCCTCTAGCCGCCTGACTGGTGAGGGAGAAAAAGCATATAGTTTATTGTCAGTGGTGTAGCAAGAACAAGAAAAGCAACTTACCTGAGCAAATTCTATATAAAGTCTCCCTAGTTTTCCAAGGAGGTTTAAACAAAAATTGGCATCCAAACAAAGTGAAGAGATGAGACAGTCTTGTTAAGTGTCATTGGCCTGGTCTACTTCTTTCCATTGCTATTTTTGTCCCATAAGCTCAGAATCTGATTAGTATATTTAATTCCATAGAGCTTCAAGAATGGCCTACCTTTAATCAGCCTATTGGCACCCACCTTTTTTCCTTCACGTGTTTTAACAGACTGAGGGGGGAGAGAAAGATAAGGCCAGGGGTTTTATTCCCTTGCGTTAATTCTTATTTTTAAAAACAAAGTTACGACAAACTTAAGCAGCATCTTAGGCAAAATATATTTAATAAGACTGTATCACAATAAAACACCAACAGCAAATACTTTTGTGGCAAACTACAAATAAGGAAATTGAGTGCGGCATAAGCTTTCAGCAGAGTATTCAAGGGGTGATGAAGCACAATGTATAGCCTCACTTACTCAAATGTCAAGCTTACTTACTGTCCATATTGGATTTGGTGTACCATTTGGGCAAATGAGGCTCCGGCAACCGAAGTACAGCAGGATAACTGTTTCATTGGGGTCTATCATAGGAATGAAGAGGTTTATATTTATGTGGAAAAATCATAAGGCACTGTCCTCCAATTATTTAAAAGTGGCTTTTGCAGCAGCCTGTGGCTGAGGGATACAGAGGCCTTAGAATACCTGCTTCTAGTAGATATCCCTCCCAGTCTTCCTCTATCCTAATGGCTCGTCTGCAAAGCAAAAAAGTCCCTGAAATACAGGTATCCACGTGTTAGGCTCAAGAGCCTGCTCCAGGACACAAAAGCATTAGCTCTTTGCAATCCGTTTTTTCAGCCCAGAGAAAGCTTATTTTCTTCTGCTCTGGTTTTGAGAAATGGCTGAATGCCTTTAGGTAGAATGATTTAGGCTGTAACTGTATCATAGCCTGAAGCAACAGCCCGGGAAAGCTAAAATCAGAGAGGTGTAAGTAAACTCTGTAAAATCAAGAGTAACCAGTTGGAAGCGAATGCAACTTTCAGCTGGGAAGTTACATTTGAAAAGGTCCTCTCTCATCCCCGACTTTAGGCAATGTTAGACCTTGAGCGATTTGAGAAATGAACCGTATGCACAAATATGTTCTGGAGACTAAAAGATTGAGGTTGCAATCCTAACACGTTTTACCAGGGAGCAATGACCTCTGTACTCAAAGAAAGTACACATGCACAACTGTACTGCAAAATCCCTAAAATGGTCACATGTGATGCTGAATGATTAATTACATCTAGTTTAATTCCAACACAGTAGCAGCTACAGCAGTGATACAAGACAGATAAATCAGCTCGCTGGATTTAAAGATTAGCGTTCATTCCAATCCAGTGCTTTATCAACTGGTGTGCAATGGCTTGATGTGGTGGCACAAAGAACGCACTCTGGTTCCTTTTGTTCAGAATTCCCAAAACCTGAAATATACAAAATATCATATTTGAGCAAGTTAAATCCAGCAAAGAAATTTGCGTAGTTCATCAGGTTAATGATCCACTATATGAAGGATTTTATGGCTAGCAGCCAATTGCTTTACAGAAGAGATGTGCAACTGGGCTAGCCCCAATTTGTTTCATAAAGTATTTGAGCTCACTCCTCCTTGTGCAATTAATCGTTTACTATTTCCCTCTGCTGAATGTATGACTAAACCTGTGGGAGAAAAACCACACGCACGCTCCATGACCTTTTCTAGAAAATATCAAAGACACTAATATATCCTAGGCCTCAGTGTATGTATGTAATCCGACACGTTTGCCGATTACACTTTGTTTTTCAGTGAGTATAAGCAAAGGGCAGCTGGGTGGTCTCTGAATTTCATTTATCTGATCTGCCCCTTAAATTATGATTGTTGGAAATGAAAACAGCCAAATGTTAAAAAGCAATGACAGGGAGGAAATAGGAACCATGTCACTCTATGATTCAACTTTTTAGTGGTATATTATCCTGAAAGTTGAGAGTCTGAATACTTTTATACAAATGGAAGCTATTATTATAAAAAGAGGATCACCTCTTCTATTTTCATCTCTATTAGTAGCAGGATGGCACAAACGGTAAAGCCAAATCAGGATGATTCCTATGTCTATAGGACTTCTAGAGCTTGTTTATGAAATTTGTCTATGTAACTTACTGGAAAGATCTATGGGCTCAATACACAAACAATTGTCTATACCAATTCTTTTAGCAACACATAATTTTCAATTTCAACGTAATCACTGTACAATAAGGAGAGTACGAGGACTCTTTTGTCTGCCTGGGGAAAAAAGCATATCCATACTGCATGCTCTAACCAATACAGTCAGAGGGCAATCAATAAGAAAGGAAATTAAATTGAACTTTACCTCTTCTCTACTGAACCAGCGGGCATCTTCTATTTCAATGTTGTCAACTTTAATTTCTGTAGACACTGCTGCCGCTATGCAGCCAATCATTAGGGACGAAGGCATTGGCCATGGTTGACAAGAGACATACTGAACATGGCCCACTTTAACTCCACTTTCCTCCTCTACTTCTCTTCGAACAGCATTTTCAATTGTCTCACCTAATCAAAGAAAGGAAAGAACAGTTAACTGACAAAGCTCCAAGCTAGAATCACATCCTGTGCTTTATAGCATCTCAAAAGATCTGAAACTTTCTGCACAGATCAGAACACAAATCAGAAGTATCACAAATAAAAGGCAGGCAATATTTCCAACAAAAATGCATCTAGAACAGCCACCCTGACATCATGCTTTTAGGGATAAGGCGGGTGGCGCTGTGGTCTAAACCACTGAGCCTCTTGGGCTTGCCGATCAGAAGGTCAGCGGTCCAAATCCCTGCAATGGGGTGAGCTCCCATTGCTCTGTCCCAGCTTCTGCCAACCTAGCAGTTTGAAAGCATGCCAGTGCAAGTAGATAAATAAGTACTGCTGCGGCAGGAAGGTAAACAGTGTTTCCGTGCACTCTGGTTTCCGTCATCGTGTTCTGCTGCGCCAGAAGCAGTTTAGTCATGCTGGCCATATGACCCAGAAAGCTGTCTGTGGACAAACACTGGCTCCCTCGGCCTGAAGCAAGATGAGCACCGCACCCCAGTCGCCTTTGACTGGACTTAACTGTCCAGGGGTCCTTTACCTTTTCACTATGCCTTTAGAGTCATGTGCAGTTATATCCTTAGAACTATTTCGCTGCAGTCCTGGAGCACATCTTGGATGTCATGTGGCCTTCACTTTTCAAGGCACATAAGACATATGTAGGCATAAAAAGACTTAATGACCACAATGTATGTTACAAGAAAGCAGAATTGACATCCCCCAAAACTGACAATGGATTATTAGTTCCATGGCAGCCCCTCTGTGGAAGGAGTCTTTCACAGAAGGGGTTCCAAAGTCCCGGGGAAATTGGTTATTTTTTCTCTTTGGGGATGCCAGAAGCTACAGGAGAAAGGGACAAAAATCACACCAGTCTGCTTACACAACTTCAGAACCAGCCAGAGTATACAAATTAGTGAATTATTAAAATAAACCTAAGAGATTTCTTGGTATCCCTATACACAGTAATATGGTTTGCTGCAGGCCAAAGTTCAAAATCAGAAATCAAAGGGCAAAGGAGTTGTTTTATATTTAACATCTGGGATGGAAATAAAGGAAAGAAACAATATATACAAAGAGAACTCACCAGGCTCTATAAATCCAGCAAGGCAACTAAACATGCCTGAAGGAAATCTTTTTTTTCTTCCCAAAAGGCAGTGGTTACCATCTGGATGAATAACTTGCATTATCACTACGGGATCTAGAATTCAAGTGAGAGAAATGTATTCAAATTTAAACTGTTTCAAAAGACAGCAAGAAAGAACATAAGTGTGCTCATTCTCACTCGGCATTACCATCTCCTTTAAAAGCCTGAAATCCAATTCTCTCCAAGCCCCCTAGACGGTAATCTTAATGCAGGTTCCTTAAAAATACTTATTCACCTGTTTTTTGTAACACAAATGTCTTGCGGGAATATACCTGCCTAGACCAACAGTGAACTTGGGAGATAAATTACCCTGAGCTGCAGTATGCGTTTGGTATAAATACTGGAGTAAATGACCTAGTTGCACACTCGACAGAAAGCAGTGACCTAATCAGCAACAATTCTTGCCTTCAGCTTCAGTCACAGATTAATGGTCCGGTGGAATACATTTTCAAGTGCAGTGCACAATTCAAAGTACAGTCAGATTCAGCTTCCTGCAGAGCGGTGTCATGACAGCAAGTTTTCCAGGTCCTGTTGGATACAGGATTCTCTCTTATGCTTCAGGATTCTCTTCTGTCTTCTCTCAATTATCTATTCCAGGGTCCCTTTCTGGAATAGAATAATCTTCTCCAGTGTGTGTTTTCACTGGGTGACCTTAGGTCACTCACTCTCAATCTAACCTACATCACAGGGTTGTTGTGAGGATGACGTCGGGAGAACTATGTACGTCACCTTGAGCTCCTTGGAGGAAAATTGGGGTATAAATGTAAATGATAACAGTAACAACAAAAGTACATTGAAAAGTCCTTACAATTTTCTGACGGCCCCAACCCTACTAAGGCATCCCTCAGGTGATGGCCATGGTTTGCACTGCTAGTTTGTACAAAACATACTTCTCTGAGTGTGTGAGGGAGGATATGAGTCTGAGGTTTATGCCTGCTCATTCCCAAAAACTAACACTATAGTTTGATTTTGCATCTGAATGGACCCTGTGACTCTTGTCTATATTTTGGTGTGAATTGTTATAAAATGATTCTCATTTGTCCTCTTCTCTGATGTCAAACTATCATTGATTGGGGGGGGAAATCAGAGGGCTTTGGCCTGACCACCATTTGATGGTTTCATTCAAGTTTTTCATCTGTTGCTTTGTTGTTCATAACTGTTCTGTGACTCTGCTTTTAAACAAACTGAGCACCATCTTTTAAATATCAAGCCAATCCTTTTGCACTTTGATATTCAACCTTCTTGCTGCATTCTCCCCTTTCTGTTGGCTGTTCAACCTATACCGTTTCCTTGCTGTCAAAATGACGGATATGACAATCCCATTAGGTAAATACGTTTCAAAGACTGATGACCTGTGGAAAATGTATATGCTGCAAGGCATCCAGCAAAGGTTTCAAATCTTGCTGACTTCTAGTTTTGTTAAGGAAATGTCACTAGAAACACCAGCTGTTGGCTCAGCGGTCTTGTATGTCTCCTCCTGTTCACAGCTCCCTTTGTGTAAGCTTCTGAAGAACCACTTAATACCACATCCAACTAACTTTCTCTGTGAATATTACAGAACTGGTAATATCAGTCAAGATTGTGAGGGCAAAATAAATAACAAACGATTAAAAACAACAACAAAAAAGACATCCTATGAGAGGAAAGGGAAGATTGCAATAAAGCAGTGTGGAAGCAACGTCAGACTATGCATGCAAAAGATCAGATAAAAACTTTTAAAAGAATATCTATACTAGAATATGTTTTGCGTGCAAGTTGACAGGAATAGGATGGCCAGCTAAGTCATCCTTGGAATAGATCCATTGGTATCAGTGAACTTAAGACCACTTATTTCAATGGATCTACTCCAGGGATGATTAATACTAGCTGTCACGCACGGTCTGTTTTTAATACAAAAAAAAATAAACAAGGAACCAATGTTTTTATGTGATTATTCTAGCTGGCCACAGTCCCTTCCTTCTCCCTTTCAGCATGTGCAGTTTTGCTAGGTTGGTTTCAACTAGATAATAAGTTCAGATTGCAAAGAACTACAGTGGGCTGCCCTGAAATCCTTGCACCGCTATTGGGGAGAAAGCAACGTATTTGCATTTCTCTTACCGACTCGTGGGTAGCATGTGTTGTGAATGCCCTGATGGCTGAGACAGTCTTCCTTTAAGCAGGATTTCTTGTAGCCTCCATCTTCTAATTTGGTTGTGCTGCCGCATGTTGGGCAGAACTGATACCGGCTATCCCATGCCAGGACAGATCTAGCCTGGGCGATGACTCCTTAAAAAAGCGACCACAAAGTGCAAATAATAAACATGCAGGGATCTTTCTACAGCACAGATTGCAACATCAGCATTCCAGTTCACCATGAAAATCAACAGAAGAACCGTTTCATGTTATGCTATTAAAGCTGATACAGAAGTTCTCGTTCTAATACTGTGTTACTTTTGGCCACTTTGGGTCTTTACATATGGGGGCGATTTACTACATCAAAAGTACGGTGTGAGATGACAGCCTTGAAAGCTCAACCACAGCATGGTTTCTGTATCATTGAAATGTTCCTGATCTTCAAAACAGCCAAGCTAAAGACCCATGAGGTTGCGGTTCACGTAACCAGAATGCTTCTGTGAGAGACAGCAGACAAGGGCAATGGAAAATCAGCCCTAACTTTCTTTAGCCAAGAAACAAAATACAGCTGCATCTTGAGGAGCAGCAGTAGAGAACAAGGAAAGAAAGGGGACAAGAAGGGCAAGCAAGACACATCAAGCTGTATCCGCGGCAGTGACTGTGATAACCTTATTCCTAGAACAATACTATGGTTTTCGCTGAAGAATTATGCTCAATACAGGCAATCCAGTAAGCAGTAACCCACAATACAAATTGAATGCAGAAAAACCTTGCTAGGAATGAGAACTGAAAAGGATAAATAAAACCAACCAGTTTTCTCCCAGCACTAAAAAGAGACAGGTAGGTAGCCGTGTTGGTCTAACGCACTCGAAATAAATATCTGAAGAAGTGTGCATGCACACGAAAGCTTATACCCAGAACAAACTTAGTTGGTCTCTAAGGTGTTACTGGACAATTTTTTATTTATTTTTTGACTAAAAGGAGAAACACTTAGGGATCTTACCAGCTTCATTTTCAGACAATTGCAGCAAGGAAGGCATAGGTGGATGAAGAAAATAACACTCTTGATGCTTCTGTATAAATCTATCGGCGGCAGTAGCATCCATACTGAGTGCAAACCAAGCAACCAAACTATCGTCTTCACCTTTGCTTGCCTCTTTGCCCTTCAGAGTAGGAAGCAAGCTGCCTCTCACCTGAAGTTCTACTCCAAGAAAAATTAACGTGATGGTTTCTGGCTGCTCCAGGTATTCCTTTACATCCTTGTAAGAAAGCTTATGGAGTTTAATTTTTGGATACTGGGAGGTATCTTCACCATCATCTGATGCAACTAATGGACTTAAATTTGAAAAAAGGATGTATACAGTAGTTGGCTGCTTCTGTTTTATGTTCAACCATTTAGCATCTGTTCTCTTCTCACTCTTCCTATCGAGCAATGTCCTGCAAAAATAGATTTCGCGCTCTCCAATTTCACTGGTCAGGAAAAATGGCTCCAGTCCACTCTTCACATTAGCTAATAAATTAGCTATATTCTTATACCCCCAAAATTTAGCAATGTCCAGTGCTGTCTGGTTGGATGCATTGGTCATGGACTTGTCACACCTTATTTCAAAAAGATAAAATAAAAAAAATGAAAAATTGTTAGCATACCTTAATATAACCAACATTTTTATATAGAACTTCACAACATATAAGGTACCATAAAACCACTGCACAATGCACCTTCCCTCGCTCACTTCTGGGCAGCAGCTCTGAGCGAGGGAGGGCCACTCAATTGATTCATTTATTTTGTGGCAACCCACATAAATGCTGTCGCAAACAAGTGGAATGTGCATAAGTTTGGAGGGTGTGTGTGCCTGTATTGTATTTTAATGCATTATAATTTGAATTTCATAGGATACAACATAACATACAACAATAATAGCATTTGATGTAAGAAATGAAAGAATCTATTAAGATACAATTAACAATCAATATGAATACTTAATGCACTGCACCCACTGTTTACAGCTGTTGCTTCCACTCCTAGACACATTGTGGGCCCCCTGAATGACGGGCCCCCACCACTGGTATCTTTGGACCACAGTTTGGGAAACCCTGCTCTCAAAATACACCAATTCTCTTGCAAAAAGTTATTACTTTGTGAATCTTATCAATTCAAGAAATGGTGGCTAGCACAATTAACCTCCCCAGCCCCTGCCCCGGGCTTCAAAATGATCAATGGAAGCATCTCTGTGTACATGATATTCATAGAATAAGAGAGTTTGAAATAAAAGAGGATTTGATTTGATTTACTTTTGTATTCCAATGTTAATGTTAGCCCCAAATTCAGGAGTCTGTATTGCTCTATCAGGATTAAAACTACGAAGATAAGCAATTTCCGTTTTCCCATATAATCCCCATATAATCATTCTGCTGTGTTGTGCAACACGGCAGCAAATATATTTAGACAATTTGAATAAATTAGTTGGCTGTGTTTTTCTCACCCCTTTTCAAGCAGAGCCTGCACGGTCTCGAAGTGCCCATTTCTAGTAGCATACATCAGGGCTGTCCAACCATTCTTCCCAGTTTCATTGATAAGCGAGGGAGAATGACTGAGCAATGTTGCAAGCCTGGTCTTGTCTCCCACAGCAGCAAAATTGTGAAGCTCAGAAATCAACTGTTGCTTTGGATTCCCTTGAATGTCTTGCATTTTCTGTGAACAAAGTTTTAAAAACATGAACAGGGTATACAGTGTGTTGATCTGGTTTAATATTATATTGCAATATATACTGAGGACAATATAATGGGAATGGCTAAATGTAACTGGGACAACTCTCATCCTCAAATGATTTTCAGGAAAGCCATTCAGGCTGTTTGCAGAAAAAAACAACTCAGAACTGTAACTCATAAGCTTTCCTCAGCTTATACCACCACCACCAGCAGTAGAGACTTTTCTAGGGCTCACTTGGCAAGCACTTTCTCTTTAGCACACTCAACATGTTTTGTTTTTAACTTGTGCCACCTAATAGGGCCTAATAGTGTAAGGTTGCACAATCCATATAAAAACAGAACTCTTCCATTTTCTGTTTTCATTAAACCGGTTCACAAATGTGCACAGTCACCAGGAGAGGGAGGTGATAGCTAGCTGTTTGTACACCCCGAAGAAAATCACAGAACCATAGTGTTGCAAGAGAACACCAGGGTCATCTAGTCCAACCCCCTGCAATACAGGAAATTTTCTGCCCAATGTGGGGCTCGAACACACAACCCTGGGATTAAGAACCTTATGCTCTACCACCTGAGCTAAAGGCTTGAATAGTAACTTGAAGAGTTACTCCGCAGTTGTAGTGGATGCACTTCCAGCCTAAAGGCTGCAACCCCGCATATATCTGGAAACGCAGTCAGCTCTTGCAGAGGTTTCCAATACCAAACTCCAGTGCTGGGTCAGGGGAGGGGGGAAAAAGAGTGCCTCGTATCATGTGACGAGTGCCACCTAGAACTCTTTCCAAACGTGAAACTTGCAGACTGTCCTGCACCCCTCTTTTTTAGTAACTTTATTTACATGTAGTTCTAAAAGAATAACTACAAATTAAAAGGAAAGCAAAAAATGAAAGCAAAACCACAACCAAATAAGGAGACAACTTAAGACATTCTCTGGTGTCCTTTCTTTCCCGTCTCTTCTAAGTCCCCAAGTTCTACTCTACTCTTACTAATTTTCTCTGACTTCCTCTTATACTGCTGAATTTATTCAAGTCCTGCTCATCTGTTCACTCGTTTATACTGGTTTTTTTTTTTAAATACTCTACAAACGTTTTCCAATCCTTTTTATATTCTTGACGAACAAGACGCACCCCCCTTTTTTAGACAGCAACCCCCAGATTGCTCGCTACCCCCTCTGGCATCCTCCTGTTGCCATATAATATAGTACCAGAGTCTGGATCCTCCTTCTCGCCAAAGAGGAAACTTTCGGAGGCAAAGTCCAGCCAGACTCGCTCTAGTCTAGGCGGAGGGACGGCAGATGTGGACCCCTTTAAAACGGGGGGTTAAAATGGGAGGCCTCCGAAGCAAGGTGCTTGAGACCAGGGGAAGGGCGCTAAAGGAAGGACCCTGGAAGAAGAGACCGTTGCACCACCTTACGGACCTTCGCCTCCAAGGAACGCTTAGGTAACTCGCCCGCGGCCACCTCCTTCCCGGATCACCTGGACAAGGCCCGCCCTCTCCCGGAAGACGGAGCAAGGCATCCTGGGAATTGTAGTTCCCTCGCAACCTGGTCTTTCCCTAGCCATCTAAGAATACTTTATTTCATACAAATAAGGGCAGGATATTTTAAACATCTGCATTTTTAAAAATAAATAAATAAATAAAATGAGATGCCTTCGTTTATTCTTTCTGGTGTTTGTATACTATTTTTTTTTGGGGGGGGGGAGGAGAATAACAAAAAAAGCTGCTATGGTGGTGCGTCTTTTTTAAAAAGCAGAGTCGGCTCTCCTTGGCTCTCGTTTCTTTGCAATAAATAAATGGCGAGCTCGGTGGAATAAATGGTAAGCTAAGTGGACAGAATGATAATAATAATCCATAAGACCCTCCCCGAAGACTGGCATGAGGTAGCAGTCTAGCTAAAAACGGACTGGGGGCATAGCTGTCAACGTTTCCCTTTTCATAAGGGAAATTCCCTTATTCCGAATAGGATTCCTCGCAAGAAAAGGGAAAACTTGACAGCTATGACTGGGGGCTGGTGGTAAAAGGTGACAAGAGTTGTCTGTCAGGGGAAAAAATCTGTGCAAAAAACAAAAATCTAAATATATGGTCTAAATATAGACCATGTACTGCTATGTACTGCTTTAGAAATGCTTCGGGAGTATTAAAGGTTAACAGTAACTTTTACAGCACAATTCATGCACGCCGACCCAGTAACAAGGTCTCCTGAGTTCTGCTGGGACAGGTCTCCTGCCTGTAATCCTAAACGCACTTACCCGGGAGTAAGCCCCCTAGTTGCAGAACTGCACATCCTAAGCAGGCACCATCCCACCTAAGTTCCAAACACCAGGTTAAAATGGTTTTAAATAGTGGGGCGGGGGGGGGGATGTTCTTCACAGCCAGTATGCAAATTCTGAATAAACTATAGTAGTACAGCTTATATTTAAATCAGGTGGAATCTTGCCACCATTATCAACTTGCCACCATTGTCAAAGCTTATGTAGATTGCACCTATACTAACTGACGGGCAGAAAAAAAACTCATGCACCAGTTATTGGGAGGAGGGAGGCTGGAGGTGAAGAAGGATGATACACTGTTACTATGTCAGTAGAACAGCTGGTTTTTGCTGTATTCTATGGCCTCTTACACCAGTGTAATTTATGTATAAAAGCAGTGCTTTTTTTCTAAAAAAATGTTTAGGGGTACTCTCATTTTCCTACTCATCTTGAAATAGGTAAAGGTAAAGGTACCCCTGCCCGTTCGGGCCAGTCTTGCCAGACTCTAGGGTTGTGCGCTCATCTCACTCTATAGGCCGGGAGCCAGCGCTGTCCGCAGACACTTCCGGGTCACGTGGCCAGCGGGACAAGCTGCATCTGGCGAGCCAGCGCAGCACACGGCACGCCGTGTACCTTCCCGCTGGTAAGCGGTCCCTATTTATCTACTTGCACCCGGAGGTGCTTTCGAACTGCTAGGTTGGCAGGCGCTGGGACCGAACGACGGGAGCGCACCCCGCCGCGGGGATTCAAACCGCCAACCATGCGATCGGCAAGTCCTAGGCGCTGAGGTTTTACCCACAGCGCCACCTGCGTCCCTCATATTGAAATACTGCCCCTCAATGAGGCCAAACTTAGATTCACAACATGTTTAGGGGTATGCGTCCCCTACGTCCGCCCAGAAAAAGCACTGTATAAAAGTGGCACCTTGGTTCTCAAATTTAATCCGTTCCGGAAGTCCGTTCCAAAGCCAAAGCATTCCAAAACCAAGATGCTCTTTCCCATAGAAAGCAATGCAAAATGGATTAATCTGTTCTGGACTTTTAAAAACAACCCCTAAAACAGCAATTTAAAATGAACTTTACTATCTAATGAGACCATTGATCCATAAAATGAAAGCAATAATCAATGTACTGTACTATAAAATAAATAAGACAGTATTGTAGATTATAATTTATTTATTTTTAAAAAAATTCTTACTTGCACTGATGATAGTCATTGTTTGGATGGGGACTTTTATCCATTTCCGCAGTCACACAATCAATCAATCAATCAATCAATCAGTAGCTGAACTGGGTTCCACACAGTCACAAAAACAAATTAACCAAAAAGACCTCAAAAACAAAAACGCAAAATAAATAGCAAAAACAAAAGCGCCAAACTTAATCTGTTCCAGAAGTCCTTTTGACTTCCGAAATGTTCGAAAACCAAGTTGCAGCTTCTGATTGGTGCAGGCGCCCCGGAAACAATACCCGACAGCTGCATTGGATGTTCGGCTTCCGAAAAATGTTCGAAAACTGGAACACTTACTTCCAGTTTTTTGGCATTTGGGAACCAAGGCGTTTGAGTACCAAGGCGTTTGAGAACCAAGGTACCACTGTACAGTCATTGTGGGGGATTCTACAGGTATCCAGCACAACCTCTGCAATCCACCAAATCAAATGCATCCCACCAGTCTTGTGTGTGAGCTGCTTTGTCTTTGTTTATGAAGTCCTTAGCCTAATGCCATACATGTATTCAGGTAGTCAAGGCTCATGAGTTGTACAAGCCTTTAGTACAGCTTCTATATTATGGATCTCTGTGGAGTTATTGGCAAATATTTCTTTGTACTGCAGAGATCATACTCTGAAACATGTAATTAGTGCTGGTCCAAGGGTTTGTAGGGTTTGGGGCAAGATGACCTCCATGGTTCTTCCCTTCTGCAGTCCTACTTGCTCCTTACAGTTCTTGCTGCTATCCATTCACTTAACCTCTCCTTACAGCCCTGATCTGTAGCACCATCCAAAGGGGTGAGCAGAAGCTGCTGTAGTTCTTGCTGCTCTCATTCCTTGTTTGCTCAGGGAGAGCAGGCAGCAACTGGAAGGAGGAGGAAGCAGCAGCAGCAGCAGTAGCAGCACGGCAAGTGGGTTGAGAGGGTTGGTAGTGGGGCCCTGCTGGGACTTGAGCCTCAGCAGTTATCTATCAAATGCCAGCCACTGATCATAGAATCAAAGAGTTGGAAGGGACCCCATGGATCATCTAGTAGCTCAGCCCCCTGCAATGCAGGAATATGCACCCAAACCTGTGACCTTGGTGTTCTCAGCATCATGCTCTAACCAACTGAGCTATCTTCCTTGCTTGTAATACTTCTATTAGATGAAACCACTTTGCTTCTAGAAGCTTTCTAACAAAGGCTTTGTCAAAAACAAACATGTTCTTCAAACTATAAAATGTAGCTGTCTATCTATATCTATCTATCTATCTATCATCTATCATCTATCATCATCTATCATCTATCATCTATCATCATCTATCATCTATCATCTATCTATCATCTATCTATCTATCTATCATCTATCTATCTATCTATCTATCTATCTATCTATCATCTATCTATCATCTATCTATCTATCATCTATCTATCTATCTATCATCTATCTATCATCTACCATCTACCATCTATCTATCTTTTTATTAAATATACTTATATACTGCCTTGGAACCTATAAACCTCTAAGATGACTTACCAGTAACTGAGTTTGATACAAAAACTAATATCACATAACTGGTAAAATACAAACCTAACAATAAATTTAATAACTTAGAAAATCAGCAGCTTTCTGATGGCTGCTTCCATCTAATCCTAAAACTGGTTTGCCCCTGCAATCATTTAAGGCCACAGCTCAAACATTTTGTGCTCTTGAGATAAGTGATTGTTTTACAAATTGACCATCAAAGCTTTGCTCCAACACTGCCCTCAAAGCTTACTGATATTTTAAAACCAGGACATCTCCTCCTCCTTCTTCATTAAATAATGAAATGTCTTAAATCAAGTTAAGCATTTTAAAAGGAAGAAGTAGAAAACAGTAATTGGAAATAACATTTTAAAAGAGAGGAAGTTTCATGCTAGTTGAAGGGTACCTTCCTCCCTCATTACTTTTGAGAAAAGTCCCAGTGACAGTGCTGTGTCAGCAGTCCCTAATGTGTCTGATCTTTAACATCTCTGGGAGGGTTTCAGCTGTCTTCCAAGGTATCATTACGACAGTAATGCAATGCTGATTGCCATGTTATTCAGAGAATATATTAAAAACCACTGAGAAATCTGGGTTGACTAATAAGCAACCTCCTCAGCCTTGCAAGCTGGCAGCTCTGGTCTGCCATTTCTCCACACATATATCTCAGTCTCTTGTGAAATCATACAGGTTTTAATTGTGAAGCCACTTCTGATGGTTAAAAATACAGTGGTGCCTCAGGTTACAAACGCTTCGGGTTACAAACGCTTCAGGTTACAGACTCCGCTAACCTGGGAGTAGTACCTCGGGCTAAGAACTTTACCTCAGGATGAGAACAGAAGCGCGTGGCGGCAGCAGTGGGAGGCCCCATTAGCTAAAGTGGTACCTCATGTTAAGAACGGATTCAGGTTAAGAACGGACCTCCGGAACGAATTAAGTTCATAGCCAGAGGTATCACTGTAAGTAGTAAAGATGTATGTGCAATGTGTATTGATCTGTCTTCATTCCTGCATTGTGTTTTAGAATAGTCGTCAGCCTTGGACTTTATTTGCCAAACTGATTTTGAATGCTGGCAAGAGAGAGGGTGATTTGTTCCTGAATTCAGATAACTGGCCAGTGGCTTGGTTTGGATGGGTTTGTCCTCTCCCTGAAGGAACAGGTTCATAGCCTAGGAGTGCTCCTGAATCTATTGCTGTTACTAAATGTCGAGGTGGTTATGGTGACCAAGCGTGCCCTTAACCAGTTTTGGTTGGTGGGACAGCTATGGCTGGTTTTGGATTGGGATAGGCTGACCACTGTGTCCATAAGCTAGTAACCTCCAGACTGGATTACTACAATGAGGCCTGCATGCGACTGTCCTCGAGGCTGACTCAAAAGCCACAGCTAGTGCAGCTCAACTAATATGGTACCTTGACTGCTCACTGGGCTGGAATATTACTGTCATATTATTCCACTGCTGAAAGAATTGCACTGGCTGTCCATTAGCTATTGAGCAGAGTTCAAGGTGCTTTTTTAATCAGAGAATTGTCAAGTTGGAAGGGACCACAAGAGTCATTCAGTCCAATGTAGGAATCCTTTGCCCAATGTGGGGCTTGAACCTACAACGCAAAGATTAAAGTAATCCTCAAGTGTTATTATAAGGAAATTAATAGATATTTCACAATATGCTTGAGGTTCTAATAAGCCAGGTCTCGGTTTAACAAAAGCAAGTTTCCATTCATATTCATGATTTATAGCCACATAAAAGAGTACCAGATCATGCATATTGCCTTATTCTAGGAGAGAAGCGATACAGCCAATTTACTGAAGCTAAGCCTGCCCGAGTCTGCTCTGTGCCTGGATTCAGCTTGGGGAGTGCATGATGGAGCCTCACAATGGAAAGTGGGAAATAGAATATGCTAAATTAAGCAATGATGTACCTAATGCAGGTGTTGGAGAGCTCCAGATGTTGCTGGACTACAACTCCCATCATCCCTGGCCATTGAACATGCTTGCTGCCAGGCTTGATAGGAATTGTAGTTCAGCAACATCTGGCAGACCAAAGGTTCCCTACTGAATACAGTGGTACATCAGGTTACAGATGTTTCAGGTTACAGACTCCGCTAACCCAGAAATAATACCTCGGGTTAAGAACTTTGCTTCAGGATGAGAACAGAAATCGTGCTCCGGCCAGCGCGACGGCAGTAGGAGGCCCCATTAGCTAAAGTGGTACCTCAAATTAAGAACAGTTTCAGGTTAAGAACGGACCTCCGGAACGAATTAAGTTCTTAACCCGAGGTACCACTGGTACTATTTCTGGGTTAGCGGAGTCTGTAACCAGAAGCGTCTGTAACCTGAAGCGTATGTAACCCGAGGTACCACTGTATTATATTGTAATGGTTTGATCAGAAGAAAAACAAAACAAAACCCAGAGATTAAAGGTCCCATGCTCTACCGACTGAGCTATCCCAGGTGTACAAAACCCTATACAGTGGTACCTTGGTTCTCAAAAGCCTTGGTACTCAGTCAACTTGGAACCCAAACACTGCAAACCCGGAAGTAAGTGTTCCGGTTTGTGAACTTTTTTCGGAAGCCAAAAGTGCTCCGTTTTGAGTGTTACTCTTCTGATTTGAGCGCCACACTTCTGTTTTGAGTGCCACACTTCCGTTTTGGTGTTAAGCTGAGGTCTGTCTGTTTTTGCTATTTATTTTGCATTTTTGTTTTTGCGGCTCTTTTGTTTTGTTTTTGTGACTGTGTGGAACCCAGTTCAGCTACTGATTGATTGATTGATTGATTGTGTGACTGCAATACATTGTTTATTGCTTTCATTTTATGGATCAATGGTCTCGTTAGATAATAAAATTCATGTTAAATTGCTGTTTTAGCGTTTGTTTTTAAAAGTCTGGAACGGATTAATCCATTTTGCATTACTTTCTATGGGAAAGCATGCTTTGGTTTTGGAACGCTTTGGTTTTAGAATGGACTTCCGGAACGGATTAAGTTTGAGAACCAAAGTACTACTGTATAGTTTGGGACCAAGATACTTGAAAGATTATCTCAAGCCTTATATTCCCAACTAATATTGGTGTTCTGCAAGAGAGGGCAAAAGATACTATCCTATCAGGAGGCATAATGTCTGCATAATGTCGGAATTGGGCTTTTGTGTTGCAGTACCCACCCTCTGGAACTTCCCATAAAAAATCAGACAGTCTCCTTCTGTATTGTCTTTCTGACACCTGCAAAAGATACTCTTTTTTCAACAAGCCTTCTGAATGGATATTTTAATCCCAGTTTGGATCTGTATTGGATTTGAATAGGTTTTAATATGTGCTGTAATTGTTGTTGTTGTTTAAATGCTTTTGTATATCAATTGTTTAAACTGTTTTTAATATGCATAAACATTTTTTCTTTTTCTGTGAATTTATAAATTGCTTCGGGAGTATCTCCCGGAAGCCATTTATAAATGAAATAAATAATAAGATTTGTGAAGGCGAGGCACAGGTGTAGGTCTTGGTAAACCTCAGATTACTGGTTTTCCTTTACAGTTTATAAATCTTAGTGTTTTCTAAATGCATCCAAATTACAAATCATCACTGCTACCATGATTGTTCTGTTTAATCACCTGTGAAAATAACACAAGGCAGAGACACTCGCATTAGCAGCTGCTGAGGGAATGTGTAACAATTGCTTGCGTTGAAAATGACTTATAAAATCAATGTTGCTGTTGCTGATGACTCCGTTCCTTACAGCTACTTTGCTGACAACTTCTTCGCTCGAGACAACTTTCCTATCAACAGCAGGTGGCACTGCTAGCAAAGCTTGAAGGTTCTATTGGATTCATGTATAAAAATTGCCTGATAGGCAATTGTGTCAATCCTTGAACTGGACGTTTCAAAAGAAGCTGCAGCTTGTGAATTTGCTAACTAGACACTACATATAGTAGTGGTCTTAAGAACTGGTCAAGTTGAAATATAGAAAAGAATGCATGTTTTGGACAATCTTAGCTGGCACCTTTCTCCCAAAGTAGAACTACCTCTTGAATTTATGCAATCTTAGTAGGCTTTTATTGGTGTATATGATTACACCAATCATATACAGACTTTTATTGTTTACAGACTTTACTAAAAGTACAGACTTTTATTGTTTACCTTTTTGGACACAGGTTCACAGTTTGTAAATATTCTTGGACCTGGAGAATATATAATTTTCTTCTCTCTCTCTCTCTCTCTCTCTCTCTCTCTCTCTCTTTCCCTCTCTCCCCAGACCTCTCTCCCCAGACTATCCAGAAATCTGGAATTTTCCCTAGAGCCTCGCAGAGGAATTTAGCCATTTAGGGGACAGTTTAGTAGGAAGCAAAGAAAAGGAAGGCAGACTCCCAAAATGGTGTTTCAGCATTATAAAATGGCAATAGTTATGTCAAGAAGTCTCTGATCATTGCATATAATTTTGCTTTAACTTACATTTTCAGCTTTTAAAAGTCCATTTCAACATTTCAATATAGATTTAATTACATAGAAAAGATGCTTTAACTGCAGTGTGCATTGAGCACTCAAAGTCTAAAGGAAGCAGTCCTGCTTGAAATGTGTACAAATCAATTCATGATATTGATCTGAAGTGGGTTGTGCTCTAATTTAAAACCTAGATCAC